TCATCATCACCACCATCATCACCATTATCATCATCACCATCATCACCATCATCACCGTCATCATCACCATCACCGTCATCATCACCATCATCATCATCACCACAATCACCATCATCATCACCACCATCACCATCATCATCAGCATCATCATCACCATCATCATCATCACCACAATCACCATCATCACCACCATCATCATCATCACCACCATCATCACCGTCATCATCACCATCATCATCACCACCATCATCACCGTCATCATCACCACCATCATCATCATCACCATCATCATCATCACCACAATCACCATCATCATCACCACAATCACCATCATCATCATCATCACATCACCATCATCATCATCATCACCATCATCATCACCATCATCACCACCATCATCATCACCATCATCACCATCATCATCACCATCATCACCATCATCATCACCACCATCATCATCACCATCATCATCACATCACCATCATCATCATCATCATCATCAGAGCCCAGCAGTCTTGTCTGTGTCCTTTCAGCACTCACGTTGCTTAGAAACAGGGAACTATTTTTTTGTACTTTCAGGTGGAGGAACATCAGCATTTTGTTTGGGTTCATCACTGACTCCATGAACGGATGTAAACACAACCAGAGGAGTATCAGCTGCAGGTTTATTCTGTTTCAGGATCTTGTTCAGGTTCAGGTTCAGGATGTGGTTCTGGTTCTGGTTCAGGATGTGGTTCTGGATGTGCATGTGGTTCTGTTTCAGGATGTGGTTCAGGATGTGAAGCTGGTTCAGTTTCAGGATTTGGTTCTGGTTCAGGATTTGGTTCAGGATGTGGTTCCTGTTCTGACTGTGATGTGGTTTTGGACCTGATTCCCGGGTCAGTTTATTATTCAAATTGTAAATCAGGTTCAGATTCTGATCTAATTCCTGTTTAGTTTTAGACTGTAGCTCTGGTTCTGGCTCTGGGTTAGGTTGTAGGGTTAGGGTTCTGATCTAATACTGGTTCTGTTTTCAGGCTGAGGTTCAGGTTCAGATCTTTATCTAGTTCAGCTGCATCAGTGATATTAGTTGTGGTTTTGTTTCAGGTTCTGGCTCAGGTCATAGTTTAGGCTCAGCTGTTGGTTCTGGTTGATGTTCACATACTGGTTCAGGTTCTGGTCCTGGTTCAGGTACCTGGAAGTGTGGGCTGGAGACACACTTGGCAAGCTGTCTGAAGAGCGGCTCCTGGACTTTGACGAACTCCGACGGCTCGATGACATCCAGGATCTCCTCCAGCTCGTTCAGGAACATCACCTCCTTCGGACTGTGAGTTTTCGGCCAGAACTTCAGCAGACCCATGATCACCTGTGGGGGTCGAAGGTCACAACACAGACAGGAAGTCAAACTACAACACCTGAACTCCTCCTGCAGCCAATGATTCGTGCGTCGCATGAGATCACGTGAAGAGACAGAAGAACCGAGACAGGTTCTCCAAACTACCCGTCCAGAACCTGAAGAACTGTGTTCAGGTGTACCGAGGAGAACTGCAGCTGGTTTAAAGGTAAAGGGGGGTCACAGCAAATCCTGATCTGATCCAGGTTTTTACTCTTTACCGAACTTTGGACTTTCACTGAGAAACAAAAACTGTTCAACGCTTTATTTTGAAAATATCTTCAGTCCAGAGCCTAAAACCTTTTACATTTTATTTCACAGTAAAACTTCAGTGTTTTAATCAGTTTCCTGAAAGAGTTAAAAACATATAAACACATGTATTTCATCATGTCAGATGTGAAAACTAAAAGCTGCTCTTTACTATTTTCTGTATGTACAAGGTGATTTTATTTTGTAAAATCTAAGAATCTTAAATATGATTTTTATTTTGAAAATGTAAAAACTGTTTATAAATGCGTAAAAATCAAATCAGTGTGTTGTTCAGGTGTTTCTGTTAATGTGTCCACCCTCTGTGCGTTACTATGGAAACAAAACACTGCCCGTCATCATCATCAGCAGCAGTTTTTATAGCGTTGTCATGGAAACAGGGAGGAAGTCTGCAGCGGACTCACCGGCTCCGTCAGACTGCTGTCCTTCTCCAGGAACTGCACCACGCAGTACGCCAGCTGGATACAGACACAGAGACCGTTACTGTACACCTACTGCGCTGCCACTCACAGATGATGTCACAGGTGATGTCACAGACAGACAGGCTGATCTCTGACCTGTGGGTGGTAGACGCTCAGAGACTTGACTTTGTGGAGCGGCAGAAGAACTCGGATCAGAAACATCTTGTGTTCTTCTTTCAGTGGTAAAGCAAAGCCGTTGATTATACTGAGAGAGAGAGAGAGAGACAGATGAAACAGTGTGTGTGTGTGTGTGTTTGTGTGTGTGTGTGTGTGCATGTGCGTGCGTGTGTGTGCGTGTTACCTCCCCAGTATCTCCAGCAGCTCAGCAATGCCGTTGTGATGTTCTGTCTCGTAGATAAATCTGCAAAACAACAAAACCAGTCAGATGTTTTTATCCAGGTGACGTGTGTGTGTGTGTGTGTGTGTGTGTGTGTGTGTGTGTGTGTGTGTGTGTGTGTGTGTTTCTGACTGTTTCATGTTGTATGTGAGGTCACACTGTGTACAGTTTATTGTGTGTGTCCTGTTTTTCTGTCGTGGTTTTTATGTAATTGTGGAGTTTGTCTCGTCACAGTGAAGGTAATCCTCATGTGGACTGTGACGGAGAATCTGAGTGACAAAGGATTTACCAGGAAGTGACACACAAACACCTGAAGACCAGAAACAGCTCATAACCGTGTGAGTTGTTTGTTCAGGTGTCAGAGGTCCGGAGGATCCTGAGTCACTCAGACCTGCTCAGTCTTTTATCTTTTATCAGGATTTCATCACGACCAACAGGATCTATTCACTCTGGTTTTATTCAGACCCTTTCTGACTGTCGGTGACTTTGATCTCCATGTTTGTTGTTTGTTTACTTCTGATTCTTTTAATCACAGTCCAGGACATGTGGACACACGTGTCTCATTCTCAGCTTTCTTACATGATTTGTCCTTTTTCTTTTAGCTCCTCAGTCTGTGAAGCTCTTTGAGCTGCACTAACCTGTATGAAAAGTGATTGATTTGACACCCAACCACATGCCCAGTATCTCAGGTGCATCCTGCAGTTTGTCCTGCATTTAGCTCCATGTGGGACTGACTACGATCACAATGCTGTGAGCTCTGCTGGTTCTGTGTATTGGAAGTTTTCGGTGTGTTTGTGTCTGTAGCTGGTGTTTGTGGGTCTCCGTGTGTCTGTGCTGACCAGGTTCTGACCTGTAGAAGATGTTGTTGATCTGGCGGCGGATGTAGGCTCGGAGGCCGAGGAACTTGCCGTAGATCCGGTGCAGGATGGTCTTGAGGAAGTCTCTCTCTCTGGGGTCCTCGCTGTCGAACAGCTCCAGCAGCTTTAACACAGTCATTAAACCCAGAGTTAGATTTCATCTCAACATCTTTACCTGGTGAAGCTTCACAGGTGAGGTCTTACCGACAGTACAAACTTTTGGTCGATATATTTTTTGGCGATGTTTGGCTGGAAGTCTGGAGACTCCAGGAAGCGAAGGAAGAACTCGTACACCAGCTGTGGAGGCAAACAACAAACACGAGAAAACATGTTGGTGTCTAGAAAAACAACAACACATGATGATGACATGAAAACACACACGTTAAAGACGAGTAACTGTGAGCGACGTCACCTGCAGGTGAGGCCAGGCGGCCTCCAGCGTCGGTTCGTCCTCCTCAGGATCAAACTCGGCTCCGGTCGGGTTGGAGGATGGAGGAAGAGTCCGAAACAAGTTCACTGAAAACTGAACAAACACACAACTGTTACTACACAAGCTGCTGCCTCCGAGTGTGTGTGGTGCTGCGGTCTGATGTATGTGAGGACGTGTTAGGGTTTAAAGTCTGTGGTCCTGGTTTGTTTCCTCTCACCATGATGACGGCCTCGGGGTAGATGGACTCGGTCACCACGTCACTGTTGTGTGTGATGTACTCGACCATCTCGTTGAGCCCCGCCCTCTTCACCTCCTTGTACTTGAGGTCGCTGAGCGGGTCGCTGACGAAGTCGAACAGCACGCAGCACTGACGCAGCTTCTGCACAAACAGCTCCTCGCGGTCCACCGGAGGGGCATCTGAGAGGGGCAACAGGAGGGAGGGAGGGGGTCAATCAACACCACAGAAGAAGACAGGTGACCTCTCTGAACAAACCTCTGTTCCTCTTCTTCTCTGGAAGAAACTGAACTTGATGAGCAGTGATTAAAATGGAGACTGATTGAACTTCATCAGCTCAGTTTGAGCAGGTGTTCCTAATAAACTGAACACTCACTGATGAACTCACACTCATCTGCATCGTCACCACGTGTTTAGAGTTCTCTACATCTGATTACATCATAAGAAGCAACATCACCATGGCAACAATTCAGTTATCCACATCTGTAATCCACTGATCTCCAGTCAGAACAAACAGCTGCTCAGTTTCTACCTGTAAGAGACCTGTCTGATCCCTGCTGCTTCCTGGGTCACAGTTTCTACAGGAGCCCAGAATGGACAAACGGAAGTAGAATAAATAAAAATGAAGTAAATAACACATTTATATAATATCATAATTATTAATATAAATACATGAATGAGTGAATTGTTGGGGGAGGGGTGTTGAGGTTGGATTGAATCCTTTGAAGTGAGGTTAAGTGACTGAGTCTTATTCAGACTTCACACATTTTAACATTATTTAACAGATTCATCTTCGTCATGAACCTGAATCTCGTTATGATTTTCTCTCTTCTTCAGTTTCTTATGGCTGATGATGTAAAAAAACGTACAATGACAATAAAAGCCTTAAAAACTGTTTGAGAAACGACAGAGAATCGAACAACCTCCTGAACTTTAAACTACTCCGATAATCAATAATCAATAATCAATATTTAAATATGTTTTTATTCAGACTGTGAGAGAAGAGTCAGGTCCTGCAGGCCTCCAGACTGCTGAGTCATGCTGTGATCACACACCTGAAACACTGATATCACTATGGAAACCAGCTCTGTCCACACACACACACACACAGTGTACAGAGAGTGAGATTCACAGACTGCGTCACAGCGCCACAAGGCTGTCCCGTTTCTAAGGCTCCTTCAAATGCGTCCTTCGTTTCCCTGGCAACGGCAGCGCCAACGAGTGGATCCTTCACAGCCCTAACCATCCTAAGATGTACTGCACGCCAGCGATGAGTCACAAGAGCGAATGAGGCGGACTCACAAATAAAACAGCAGCCAAGGATAAAAAGACCAGATCGTTTAATGTTTCAGACTTCGTGGACCACATCCTTAAAAAATACAGCGTGTACTTTCTTATTTTTCATTCTTATTTTGCTGTTTTTGTGGGCGTCAACCTTTGGGCAGTGGGCATGCAGCCCTCAGCCAATCACATCGCACAGGGTGTGAGGGCGGGACTCTAAAAAAACAGGTTTCATCTCTGTCTCTATCGCCCTCCTATAAAGAGCTACAGGTGTGTGTCTGTTTGACCGAGGGCGGGGCTGGGTCAGGTTTAGGTCAGGCTTGAGTCAGGTTTACATTACCTTTGAGCGCAGGCAGCTTCTGCAGCTCCCTGTTCTTGGTCAGGCTGAAGCGGGACGAGCTCTGGCGCCGCTCCTTCTTCACCAGCTGAGGACCTCCGGAGTATTTGATCTTGTTGAGCTGAGTGGGAGGGGGGGTGCTGTTACTGGGACGCTTACTGCCACTCTGCTGCTGCTGGGACTGAAACCACACACACACACACACACACACACACACACACACACACACACACACACACACACACACACACACACACACACACACACACACAGGTTTAAAGTTAGAACAGGAGAGTGTTGTTAAACTTCCCCTCAGTGATGCATCCTGGGAGTCGTAGTTCTGGGTGTAAACACGTTATATCCTGTTTTCTGACTCAGTTTCTGCTTGTCAGGATTGTTTCCATCTTCGTGATCAGCTGTTTATTTTATATTTGGCCAAAGAAAAGTGAGAAAACAGAAACTTTTATCAGAGCAGTTTCAGTCTGGTTCTAATTAAAACACGGTTCTTGGAGGTTTGAGGTTTGAGGTCAGATGTTTCCAGATGATGAATGAGAGTCTGACAAGTTCACTGTGTCTAACCAGCTGTGCTCTGTGTGTTACTGCTGTAGCTGATGTACTACACACACACACACACACACACAGCATATCAGCTGATCACAAACAGACAGGAGATCTGATTTAGAGCGTTAAAGACACTGAGCCTCCATTATAACACTGTGACTGTGGTTAGTGTGGAACATGAAGCTCCTGACGAGTCAGCAGCCTGAAACTCAGACTCAGATAATTATTTAAAGATTAATCGATCGGTCAATCAACAGAAAATAAACAAAATAAATATTCATTTTATCCTTAAAAAAGCAGAGATGATGTTTTTAATTTGCTCGTTTAAATCAACAATGACGATGATCATCAGCTGCAGCTTTAAAACAGAGAATAGCAGAAGAACTGAGAAACTGACAGAGAATAAAGACAGCTGCAGGTGAATCACCTGAGCTCCACTGTTACATGAACAAACACGTTCATTCTTTATGCAACAAATAAAATGTTTAAGTTGAATTTATGATTAACTCTCAAATATCAGCATCGAAGGGTCAGCTCTCAGTCAGACTCCACTGGACTGAACTGAACCACAGCAGTGAGCTATTGAACAGGGACCCCGGGGGTGGGGGGGTGGGGGGGTCAGCAGGGTGAACATCTATCAATAAGAGCTATTTTCAGTTTGGCTGCAGTCATTTAAAAACCCTGCAGCAGCTCAGTGAGAGAGGAGGAGCTGCGTGTCCACCACCACAGACTCAGGTGCAGACAGACCTGAGCTGTGACAGTCACATGACACAGGTAAGCAGCAGAAAGGCCTCATGTCGTCACTGAATTCATAAGAACTAAACATCTGCAAACATCTGCCTGTTGACTGACGTAAACAACCCTCTAACAGGTAACACGAACTCTGCATCACACCTGTCCATCACTGTGGTCCAGTCCAGGTCTGAGCTCTGGTCCTGGTCCTTCACTTCAGGTCTGTGACCTTTGACCCCGCCTGTAACGCTCCATCAACAGGTAAACTACACCTGAACCTGATCACCTGCTCCTCATTAACAGTGTGTGGAACATTAGAGCAGAGTTTGACACAAACCACCCCCATCAGCATCACAACTACCCCCATCAGGACCAGGACTGCCCCCATCAGGACCAGGACTGCCCCATCAGGACCATGAACCCAGTGAACAGACACTCTAATCTCACATCAGTCACTGTTTCAGTCAGTTTGATGTGATGTTGCTGGTGTGATGTCACTGTGACATCAGCAGGTGTGTTTCTGTAAAATGAAACGTCACTGACAGGAGACTTTGACTGTGATTACATCCAGTTATTAACTATAAACTAAACTGTTTCTATCAGTGACATTTATTTTGAAAAGGTTTCCTTTTTTATACCTTACAGTTATATAAAGACGTTCATTCAACCACAGCTTTTATTTCCAGTACCTAGTGTGTGTGTGTGTGTGTGTGTGTGTGTGTGTGTGTTATAGAGGACTCTGAGCTGAGTCTCGGGACGTCCCGGCCGCTCAGAGTGTGTGTGTTATGAGTGAGTGTGTGAACAGCAGCAGCTCTGTCTCGCTGTGCCCTGCAGTGTTGTGTGTGTGTGTGTGTGTGTGTGTGTGAACATGTGACACTGATCCTCACTGTAGCTCATCATGTGTTCCTCTCTCACCTCGTCTGAGTTCTCTGTGGCGGCATCTTTCCCGCCGCTGCTGTTGCTGTTCTTCGTGCTGCTTTTGGCAGATTTGGTCGTTTCCTGTTGACACACAAATAAAAGCAGAAAGAACATCTAATACAAAAATAAACCAGCTGTTATTTTTCCATATTTAAACTGGTGGATATTTCAGGCAGCACTGCAACTAAAAATAATACTAATCTGCTGATTATTTTCTCCATTAATTGATTAATGGAAAAGTCTTTGTAATTTCCTGCAGTGGGAGGATTTACCAACTGTCCAACCAACAACTATTCAATTACCAATCGATCAATTGTTGCAGCTCTAATTTCATGGTTAACATAAAGTTTTCATTCATCTGCTGATTTTTTCCCAATTAATCAATCGTTTGGTCGATTAAAGGTTGATCTGTTTTTTATATTTTCCTGCAGTCGGAGGATTTGTATGTAAATAATTATTTATCCCACCAACTGTATAAAAACTCATATATTAGATATTCTGAATGTTTCTCATTTTTCCTTTAAAAATTGACAATTATTCAATTACCAAAAAAGTTGATTGATTGACTAATCAATGAATTGTTGAAGCTCTAATTTTCTTCTGTCTGCAGATTTTTCCCAATTAATAGATTAATCATTTGGTCAATTAAACATCAGACGTCAGTTTTTAGAGGCTGTAAACAGCATTTATTTATTTACACTTTAACAATTAATCAACACTCAAATCAGCTGCTGATTATTGTTCCGTCTATTAATTGATCGACCAGGCGCTGCAGCTCTGCTCTGATCAGCTGTCTAAGATCGATAGTTTGAGCTTCACTCAGCTGAGTCGACGTCTGAGAGGCGACAGGAGGACGGGGAACCTGAGGGGCCGCCCCCTCGCACAAATCTGTTGCTGTCAGTGTCGTTATCCACTGAATGATTGACAGAAAACTAATTGGCAATAATTTTGACTGCTGATCTTTTTTCAAGCAAATATTCATCAGTTCCAGTTTCTCAGGTCTGAATATTTACTCTTTTTTTTCTGACTGAACTCGACATCTGTGTTTTTGCCTGTCGCTCAGACAGAATCAGAATCTGTTCATTTGAGTTTCAGGGATCAATGAGGCATTTTTCACTGTTTTCTGACATTTTATTCACTGATCAATCAATCGATTATTGAAGAAAATACCTATCAGGTGTACTGATAAAGAAAATACCTGCTGGTAGCTGCCTCGCAGGCTCCTGTGATGGAATAAAATGAGCTGACGAAAGTTTGATCAAACTAAAACCAGATTCTGATCCTTTACAAGACCAGGACCAGGAGGTGGAGGATGAGTGGAACAAATCTATAACTAATTATTGATTCATCAAATAATGTACACAGACATAATATTGAGTAGAGCTGAGGGCATGGGGTCCCTGGGGAGTTGCCTGCTTTTTAATCCTCAGTCTGAGGTGAGTCCATCAGGTTTTTATTTTGGATGTTGGTCGGACTCAGAACCAGGACGATTAAACTAAAAACTGATGGTTTGTAAAATAATCAATGTTCTCATGATCAATTAATCTACCAATAATGTCTGGGATTAATCTAAACATCTCAGAGCTGAAGGTGACATCTTCAAAGAGATTCAGTTACCGTGACAACACATGAAATCTGTGACTCCTCAGAAATGACTCAAACAATTAATCAGTTATTTGCCAATTAATCGAGTCATGAACTGATCGTCTCTGCTACAGTTTGTCATAAAGAGAGAAGTGGTTTGTTCTAATGAACTAAAATCAACTGTTAAATACAAATGTTCTCGTTATGATCAAATATTCAGAATGAAGTGTTTGTGCTTTTTAAGACCTTTTAAACCTCACAGACTGCAATAACACATTATAGAAAAGCAGCAGGGAGGATATAACCTCCAATTATTACATCACATGTTTTCAGCAGTTTGTCATAATATTTCCTGATGATATAATTAATGTAATGAATATGACCTGGTCCCAGATCAGCAGCAGAAAATGGATTAAACAGTTAAAAACAGCAGCAGGTTAAATGTCTGAGACTGGAGATTAAAACCTGCAGCCAGACTTTTGTGAACGAAACAACTTTCTCAGGCTTTTTTTTAATGAATCAGGGTCCAGTAGAAACCCTGACACACTGAGTCCTGATCCGGCAGGGGTTCCTGAGTGAACCAGGACCAGGACCAGGACCAGGACCAGGACTTGTTCCTGTTCTGTCTCAGGTCACCAGATGCTTCCTCTGCAGGAGCTGTACCCTGCTCCCTCTCATACTCCATGTTCTATGGAGGCTCATGCCTGGATGAGTCACAGTCCGCACAGACACTTTTACACCGAGCCCTGCCTGTTTTCTTCCAAATGAATAATTTAACGGAGCAGGCAGCGGTTCCTCCCCGGAGCTCCGGTGGCAGCAGCATTTCACCCGCTAGCTACCGGTCGGGTGACACCCCGCCTCAAGAGTCTAACAGCTGGACACAGTCGCTAATGCAGAGTTTGAACCGAACAAAGCGTGTGAGCGGCGGACACCGAGGCGACAACCGGGGACACAGACTTTTAATGCGGCTAGCAACTCCGCAGCTAGCGGCTAGCTTAGCCGTCCTCTGCTAGCGGGGCCTTAGCAGGTTAGCCCGCCGCTGCTCGGTAAAACAGAACGCCTGAAGTCTGAACCGGCCGAATTAACGACCGCTTCACGGCCACCCGGTTATATTACCGCATAAAACGGGTCGTGTGGTGGTAATGTACCCGCTAACTCACCTTTTCCTTCTTGGTTTTGTTCGGCATCGTGACTGTGTGTCAGGGTGTTTTTCACGGAGCCTCCGTGATGCTCTTCCCCGGGACTCAGACGCTGTCACTCGGTCTATCTCCGCTGCCTGTGCCCGTTCCCGACTCGAGTGATCTGATTGGCCAGCGAGGCGCAGATCTGCCTAGCGACGCGTGTAGGGATTTTTCTGATGGGCTGTCTGTGAGTTTGGTGCTCAGGGTGAGGCAGGACTCCAGTCTTCCCCAGCAACACAACACCTTCAACCTGATGATACCCAGCTCTGTGACCGCAGGGAAAACTATCACCATTTCCTCCGGTTAGGGCTGTTTTCAACACAGAACCACACAGTGCATCCACACCTGAGTACAGGTGGGAGAGTCCACCAGAGCATCAGGACCAGGAGGGCAGCCCACTCCTCCCAAAGACAGTAAATAAGAGGGAAAAAAGTAATTAATAAGGCAAAATAAATTAAGAGCATCCCCTAATAAGTGACCCAGTTTAAATAAAAATAAAACCTGACTGACACTTCAAGTAAATAAAGTTTCATTGAGCACAAAGTTCATCCTTGATGTTGGAAACTGCAGTTTCACATAAGTCTAGAAGCCACTAAAGAAGACTATGAGAAGCTGCTGAAACCTCTGAAAAATGCTAGTAAGCAGACCTTTAGTTAAGTTTGTCAAAGAGAAACACCTCAGGACTTAAGCCTCATTCTCACTCTTCATTATAAAGATATTAATTAGTATATCAATTTTTTTAATATAACTCTTTTCTGCCAAGGTTTATGATTGACTTTGTCCAGGGGAAAGTTCAGGTAGATTTACTCTGATTGAGGAATGGATAAACAGCACTCACCTCTCACCTGTTAAAGATGTCAGGCTCCACTTACACACACATTTAGATATAAATTATATATAGTCATGTAATATTTTCCAGATATATTCTATCACTGTGATCTGGAATCAAAGGCTGGAAACTGCGCTGTGAATTTTACACATGAGATCTAAAGTAACGTGTTCACTTAGATATTCTTTGTTTTCCTGGTGTCATATTCTTGTGCGGTTGTGATGCTGAATTTCCCTCCTCAGGATCAGAGAGGTTTGATCTCATCTCAATGAACAGCTCCTCTATCACATAACCACAACTTCACTTTAATGATTCCTGATGTAGAATGAAAACACTTCATTTTATTAACATGATGAGAATCAGAATTAGTCATCATCGTTTTTATAATAATAACGTATATTTGATTTAAATGTTAAGAAACTTTAAATGGAAAAATAATTTAAATCTACATCATGTGTCCAAACTGGTTTCAGTTCAGTTTCACTACACATTAAATTGTATTTAATTTTATTTAAATGAAACAGCACCTGTCCTCCTCTCGTTATTTATCACTGTGGCGCCACCTGGTGGTCAGAATCAGCTCAGTGCTGTGGACAGAGCCTGAATTAAATCAGTGAATTACATCAAATGTTCTACTGTAGTTTCAAACCATGTTTTATAAGAACTGATGTTTTCCCTTAAGAGTCGCTGGTTTGATTCCCTCTCCTGACAGGCAGGTGTACCACAGCACCTTGGTTCTAAACCCTCAGAGGAGACTGAAAGGCTGCTACAGTTCTGACACCACCTCAAAATCAGAACCAGTTTTTACCTAGAAACACAAAAACACATCACAACAGACCAATGTTCTGTTTAGTCCAACTTTATTTGTTTGGATCATCTCTTACAAAAAAGATCTTCAGCGTTTCTTCCTTCACAAATAATTTAATGAGTCACATCGCTGGGTTCTTCTGTTAAACAATTTCAACAAGTCTCTGTGTCTATATGGACAATTACATTATCAACACAATGTGTAACACAGTCCTGCCCCCCCCCCCCTTCTCGTTCAGTGCAAAATACCAAAACACATTTTTCTTCAAAAACACTTTTTGTACAGTTTGTTTCCACTAAGCTGTACAAGAACAAGAAATAACATACAGTAAGAAAATTAAAAAATAAAACTAAATATTTATGTAAATCTAGATTCATGTGACAGTTTCACTGATTATCTGACAGTTTTCATCCTCACTGATGTTTATAGAAACTGGTCTCTTACCTTCTCTGCAGGAGACTCGTCCATGACGCTGTCGACTGTCGAACCAAATGATCGACTGTTGAAGTTAGAGAAGAAAATGGCTGAACACACGGACGCAGACAATCTGTATTAAGATAATGAGATGAGGGCGACACCTTCAAACTCAACCAACAGGACTAACAGACGGTTCATTCAGGTTCCTGAAACCTGGACAGAACAAACACCTTTCTACAACTGGTGGATGTAAAACAAGAGACATCTAGAGCTAGATTTGTATTAACAACATCAGATTTACTGTCACCCAGTTTCATGTCTGACCTACAACGTCTCACAGAGGGAATCACAGCAGAGGAAACGACCTCCTGCCCCAGAGAACTACAAGACTAATTCACAAACATCTGCTGAGACCAAGTCCACCTGAAAACAAGGCGAACATAAACTGATGGAGGAAACCTGGTCGATTGGGGAACAACTGACCGTTGTTAAAATACTAAATTATCTAAGTACGATCTTAGTAAGTTACTAAGTTATTGAGTTTCCTTCTTTATGTACAGGTGTGAACAAAGTTTGGCCACATCTGGGGAAAAATCTACAAAAAGTGTCATTTTCCCACAAAGTGACCAAACAACAGATATTTTAATTTTCTCTGACTCATCCAATTGATCAGCACAGACTAATGTCATTATGGGAATCTTTAGAAATACCAACCTCTCTTTTATTTTGGAGGGTGAGGGGTATCGGTCAAATCAGTGAACTACAGGAGCCCGTCAGGAAAAAAAACATTGATGAAACGTCAAATGACCAAATAAAAATTCTCACATAAGTAAAAATGACTTTTTGACAAACCATCAAAATTAAAACAAAGTCTTTCGTAGTTTTGACTTGAGGTCTGAATATTTTTTAAAACTTTGGACTTAACATTTCATATATTTTATTTTTACCTTTTGTCCTGGTTGATTCTTCCTCGGCTGCTGTAAAACATGGTTGGAAATGTAAAAAAACAATACAAGCATGTAGTTATTCCACGTTTGAGGTTTTAGAATAGACCCAGTCTCTTGTGAACATGCAGTAAACGATGTAAACCTCTTCATGAGAGGAAATGTGGTCTTAAAAGACATAACGTTTTCTGAATTAACTAAATTAATGTTTAGTAAAAATCGGGTTGATCCATGATCCTCCGTCCTTCAGTCACTGCTGAATATTCTGTGAATAATCACGACACAGACCTTCTGCCTGTTTTTTCTCCACTAACTTTTATTAAAACTTTACGTAAAGCAACAGATTTTACAAGTCGAGCAGTTTGATTCTATTCTGACCCAGAGACACTGACCTCAGATCAGTGCCTCTAACACAAACAAGGGGAGAAAACCTGACGCAGAATCATAGGAACCGGATCCTGGATCTTCAGTCAACATGTGAACACTGCTGCCGGTCTGAAACCACCCGAGCTCCTTATTGGTCCATGCTACGAGTTTCATTTCACCGGCTGAACTGTGCGAATGTGTCATTGGTCTACACAGGAAAACTGAGTGAGTCTAAACTCCAACAGACAACAAGAGGAACTACCAACGGTTTACAGTACGTTACCTTCAGGAAGAGATTCATCTGTGAAATCGTGACAGAGACAGCACTGTGAACTTTACAAGGAGCAGTCCCACATTTTAGGAAACCCTGTCCTCCAGAGCCAGACAACAACAGATCAGTTTCATCTCAGAGTTAGTTTATGTTGTTTTTATGAACAAGAATTCCCCTGAAGAGCAAAAACCAACACTGAATTCATCCTGCTAATAGGAGGAGCAGAACACTACCGCCTTCATCATACCTGAAGATGATATCTCCTAATGTTTCATTAGGATTTCCCTTCATTGGAACAAAGGGTGGTTCCCAAACCTTCTGGCTTGTGATAATGAAGCAAAGGTTCCTTCTGTTTATGGATTATAACCCACTCAACATACATACAGCGATTATTTGAGTAACTTTAAAGAGGAAAGACTATCCTGTAATTAACATTTAGAGGAATGTCTGAAAAACACATCTAATTTTATGTAGCAAGTGTTTTTTCTTGTGCTGATCATTGTCTCAAGAATCTTTAGATCAGTGGTTCCCTTTTTTATTTAACTTGTCTGTTTGTTTTGAGCAGTTTGATGAAACAGTGACTTTCTCCTCAGATTGTTTCGTTTGAATCAGTTCAAGACGCCCAAAAGATAAAAAAGGAAAAGCAAAGTTTAAGAGAAAAGTCTGGAAAATAAACCGAACTCTGTGTATAGGACTTCATATTTTTCTAATTTCCTACATGGCTAAATGTCTTCCAACCCTTCCAGTCCAGACCTGCAGGTCTCAGGAATCCCTGCCTTCCATTTATCTTGGAACCACTAAACTAAAGGAACACAAGTATGGGACAGATGTGTCCACATATTTATGACCATATAGTGCCAGTAGCCTTTGCCTCCCTGCCAGAGCTCCACTGTCCAAAAGCCATGAAATACAGCTAAGAAGCAAACTGTTGCTCTGGATGAGCTATTCTGTCATTATGATTTAGTTTACTGTGAAGAACCTCATTGACTCAGACAAACAAACTGATTATAAGAACATGTTTGGTTTCAGTCTTCTGTCTTTGCACCAGTTTATGAGGAATAAATCAGCTACCGACAGTAAAACAACCAAACAGGCTCCTGTGTGTTTTTGGAGACCAGTCGAGAAGGACTGCAACGGTTCCCCAAAATCCAATGTGACATCTTTAAATTCTTCAACAGTCCAAAACCAAAATATATTACATTTTCTATTATACAAGAAAAAAGAAACACAAGCAGAAAATATTTAACATTTCTGCTTGAAAAAATTGTTAACAATCAGTTTTCTGTTGATCAATTATTCAACTACATCACAGATAGTACTTGTTAGCAGGATAGATTAAGTGTTGGGTTTTTATCTTCAGGAATTTGCTGATGATACTGAAAAGATAAAATAACACCACCAGCCTGATCCTGTAAAAGGAGGCTGAACAGATCCAGGACCTGTTTCTGTGCTGGATCAAGAGAGATGAAACCTTTATCCGTCTGAAAGATCCGACTCTGAAGACGAGGGTTTCAGAAAATGTCAGCCTGGTCTTTTGAACAGGTGAAGGTCAGTTTTTTTAAAAGTCTCAAGTCTGTCAGCGCGAGTCTCTCTCTTGCCCTTTTCCAGCTGCCTTCCCACCACACAGTTGGGTCAGCTCCTACTCAAAGTTAAAATCGTACTCAAAGTCCAACGAGGTCATGTCAGGGGGGAGGCCCAGCGTTTCAGGGGTGATCTCCATCTCCTGAGAGCCCCCTTCTTCTTGCAGTGACCCAGAACCAGGGTCTGACGTGTCTAGTCCCTTTGGGTCTGAAGCTGCTGATTCAGAATCCCCTGAAGTCATGTCAGATTCTGGCTCCGACTGGTTTTGCTGTTGCTGCTGCCGCCGGGTCTGGTATCTGGTTTGGGATCGAGTTTGTCGGACAGGGCGGGCAGCAGGGGATGCTTTCTTTGTTGGAGTTGTCTTGCCTCTTGTTTTGGGGCCCGGTTTGGGTTCAGGTTCCGGAGCTGTGTCAAGATGAGACTGAGTGCCCTGGTCTGGTTGGGGTTTGGATTGTGGCTCTGTTTGGATTTGAAGAGGAAGTTTGGGCTGGCACTGAGTTTCAGGTGTTGGTTCTGGCTCAGTTTGTGGGGTGATATGGGATTCCAGTTTAGAAGTCGAGGACTGGTTTTGGGGTTCACTCTGAACCACTGACTGAGCTTGCTGAGTCAGTTTTGGTTGAACTGTCTGTGAAGTCGTTTCAGGGGTTGGAGCTGGGGTAGACTGCATGGACCAAACTGAAGCTATTTGAATTTCTGAATGGGATTGTGGAGTTGATGGGGGACTCTTTGAGTCTGGTTGTGGAGCTGTGTGGACCTGAGTTGGAGGTTGGGATTGGGATTGGGTTTGGGTTTGGGTTTGGGTTTGGGCTGGAGGGTGAAGTTGGGGTTTTGGTGCTTGCGGGGCTGGAGGTGTACTTTTATTGGAACTACTACTGGAGTCTGTTGCTGGTTTGGTGATTGAAGAGGAACCTGACTGGCTTGTGCTGCTGTAGAAGATGCCGAATAATTCCTGGGCTTTGGCCGCAGCCAGGTTACTCTTTATTTTCTCAGACTTCTGAGCTCCCTCACTCATGTTCATGAAAGGGGGAGGTTTGACAAACACTGTACGGGTCTGCTCACTCTCCGGGACGCCAGGAGCTGCAACATCAGACACTATCTTTATCATTGCTGGTTGTGTGGGTTTAGCCACAGATGGCAGAGGTTTTCCTTCTGAGGCTGCAGGCTTAGCCTCAGATGGTATAGGCTTTACCTCATCTGAGGCTGGATTAGAAACTGGTGGTGCAGGTTTAACCTCTATTGGTGCAAGTCTGGACACTGGTGGTGGAGGTTTGGCCTGAAATGGCTCTGGTCTAGACACCGGAGGAGCAGGTTTAACCTCAAATGGTGCAAGTCTGGACACTGGCGGTGGAGGTTTAGCCTCAAATGGCTCTGGTCTAGACATTGGTGGCGAAGGTTTCACTTCATATGGTGCAGGTCTAGATGCCAGCGGTGGAGGTTTAGCCTCTGAAGGCCCTGGTCTAGACACTGCCGGGGTAGGCATAGCCTCACACGGTTCAGGTCCACCAACTGGAGGCACAGGTTTTGTTTCCAACAGTGCGTTCTGAGCATTTAGAGCCTTTGTGAGACCGTCAGAAAGCGTTGGGGATATTAAACTTGTGTTTTGGGGTCTGATAGAGAGGAAGGTATTCAGAGGCGCAGGTTTACCCATCATGGTTGTTTTCCTCAGGACTGCAGCAGGTGCTGGGAGATTGGGCCTGATCCTTCCCCGGTTGGCACCATTGGACACCCAGGGAGAAGGAGGCATGTTGTGCTGGCCCCCCAGCTTATGGGCGATCTCCTTAGCAACAGCCATTGACTTTGCAAAAGAATCCTCCACAGAGACTGGCTGCTGCTGGCTTGCAGCGGCTTCGTCTTCCTTGATGAACTCAGCGGCCACTTTCTCAGCCACCTTCGCCAACATGTTTTCCTTCTTCTTCCACGTGAACTTTCCAAATGAAGTGGTCGGCAGCGCAGGAACTGGCTTTCCAGCTTCCAGGCTCTGTTTGCGGAGCTTGGCCCTCATGGCCGGACTGGGCCCACAAAGGACTTTGGGAGGGTCATAGGGCTTGGGCGGAGGTTCAGGCTTGATGACCTCTGGTTTCCCTGTTGGTTTGCCTGGGTCAGGCTTTTTAAAACCTTCCCTCTCAGCCTTAGGTTTCCCTTCATCTCGTTCTCTGTCATATTTGGATCTGAATTCTGAATATTTACTGTATTTATACTTGTCCTCGTCATTTCTCGGGCCATATTTAGGGCGGTCATCATATCTGTCATCATCATCTCTGCGATATCGGTACCGATACTCCTCGTCTCTGCTGTATTTGTATCGGTCGCCCCTCTCTTCGTCCTCTTTACTGTAGCGGTACTTATCATCCTTTTTGCTGTATTTACAATTTTCATCCTCATCTTTCTTGCTGTACGAAGGCCGCTCCTCTTCCATGCTTTTGACACTTTTACTATCCTCCCCCATCTTGCTATGCTTCAGCCTTTCCTCCCCATCCTCCTTTTTAACTTTAGACTTCTCCTCTTTCTGAGAAGCATCATCATCTTCCTTCTTTTTCTCCTTGTCCTTTTTCTCCTTTTTGTGTTTGCTCTTTTCATCCTTGTCTTTGCCACCTTTCTCGTCGTCCTCGTGTTTGCGTTTCTTGCCACTCGTCTCTGAAGACAGTCCTGCCTGACGGTCCAGGTTCCTCCTCTGTTCATACAGTGGATTCTCGTACATTTGTTTCTGGTGAATGTGGCATCAAAACAGAGAGACAAGAAACCATTAAGAAAACATATGAACAGCCTGACATACAAACTCTTCCAATTAAAGCTGAGCCTCTACAATACATAACAGCAACAGTAAAAGAAAATAAAAGTAAAAGATGTTTGGGGTCATATTACAGTGTAAAATACATGTGTCACCACTGTTTAAAAAACACAAATATTAATATTAGTATTGGTGTCAGAAGTCCAGTACTGGTTGGGGTCTGCTTTCTACCTAAATCTAAAATGAGATAGTGGAAACATGTTCTCTATCCCACTTCTGCACACCTGTCCTCAGTTGTTTCTAAACAGGAAACCTGTCTATTAAACCCAAACTTAATGGACATCCTATATTGTCTTAGTATCTGAACCCTAACACACAAACTCTCCAGTCGCTCAAAAGTCTGGAGTTCCCTGATGATGTGAATGCAGCACGGTGGACAGCTCTAACTTCACCACATTCTGTCTCCATCAACTGGTGGCCCACCCACAATAATATAGTAGTAATAAATAGTTCCTGACAGTGAGTCAGTCCCCATTGACTCCCATGTTAAAATGTCCAACTTTACAGCAGAAATCAACATGTTTACAGCCTGGTACAGAAACTGTTTTGGTCTCTAGAGCTGATTTCCTCCTTCATGACACCTGTTTATATAACTCACCTGTTTACATTTTATTAAGGACTAAAGTTATGGAGGACTGTGGGCATGGCTTCTTTGAGTAACAGGTGGGTGACAGGTGGGCAAAACCGGCATTCACCGAAGTTTTGGCTCCACACACGCCCCTCCTTTTTGATCATTTTTGTATTAGCTGTGAGTTAGGGGCGGAGTCAGACACTGCCAAGATGGTGACGGTGGATCAGCTCACTCTGAGCTTCAGAAACCTGTGAGTGATGTCACAGAGGCGACGTCCATCTTTATTTGGATCTTCGATAGTTTCTTCAACACACGCTGCTGTTTAGTTTTGTCATTATTTAAAGCTAAATCTTTTTTATTTCCATTGTACTTGGATGGAGGCTGAAACCTGGACAAAACAAAAACTATCAAACTGGAGAAATATGTTTTTTCCTTTGGTAATTTGGGTCAACTGCCCCTTTAACACCTCCTTCACCTGGCCGCAGGTGGTGGTGTGTGAAATCTTTGTGTGTTTGTGTTGGTTCTTCATCGCCACATCAAATACCTTGTACTTCTCGTTGTGAGCATGCGTGGTGACGTGCTCTTCAGCACAGATGGCGTCTCCGTAAAACTCTTTACACAGCAGACAGAAGAATCCTCTGACGGGCAGCAGGAACTCCGACCCTGCAGCAAAACACACGAACCACAGCTTAAACCCACAGGCGGAGATAAAATAAACTGTCAATCATGTTTACCTGGTGGACGTCTCCATGTTCAGTACCTGTCAGGACAGGAGAGGGTCAGACAGGTGACAGCTGATTATCACATATGTAAATAAATAAATGGATGGTGAAGAGTTGAGAGGTAACAGGTGGGAAAGTGTTGTAGCTGCTCAGTGACATCACGGTTACTGTGGAAACGGGAGCATTAAGACAAACGTTTGGGGGGCGGCGAGCAGAAGAACCTGCACCAAGCAGCTACAGCACTTTCCCAAAGGTTACCGCAGGTCGTTACATTCACAGCTGCCTTTGTTTGAGGATGACACATGAAAACAAATGAATTGACATCAGAGGTGTGGACAGCAGGAAGTCTCCTCTGGTCCCAGTCTTTGTCACTCTGTTAGCTTTTATTAAGAGACACAGAAACTGCAGCAGAGATCCAGACTGAGCTCCACCTGGAAGCAGAAGACGGCTAACAACATTCAGCAGCTCACACATCAGGGTCATAGGAAGAAGAAGCAGCATTACGATGAGTTTTCAGGGACATGATGAATGTGCAGCTCGAGTACCTTTAGCCGGTTTTGTCAGTTTCTCTTCCGGCAGCATGTTCTTGATGATTTTGGTGGGAGTGGAGGCCCAGGGCCGGTCGTACGGGTCCAGAGTCTGAGACAAGGAAAGAGAAGTGATGTAACAGGAACACATACACGAAGGTGCGTCCAGGTGTGAATATCAAACCGACTCTTTCCAAAACAAGAAATGTGATCAATTAAATTTATAAAAGGATCTTAAAGGAATTAAAAGTTGACATTTATACACAAAGATATTTTTGAAATTGTTGTGAAAAATAAAAGCAGCAGCAGTGAACAAACCTTTCGGTGCGTTTTGCTGTGCAAGTGCGTGAAAAAATCAAACATGGAACCAGAGGTGACGTTACAGTTTTTGCACCAGTGGTTTCCTGCGTCATAGTATTCAAACGGCTCCGGGGGCGGCGTCGGAGGAGGGGCGCTGACCGGCGGCTTGACGGGGGACGCTCTCGACAATGACGGCGCCGCCGCTGAGGTCTGCTAGAAGAAAAAAAGATGGAGGAGAGTCAATGCGGCAGGGAAAGCTCAGCAGTCAGGATTCAGTCAGACAGAAACGAGCTCCAGCTTTAAAACTCAGCTCCACAAAATCTGGAAATGAAAAAGTTTCTTACCGTCAGAGATTCCAGCCGCAAGGTCAACGTGTGTTTTGAGAGAAAATGCGGCCGACGCTTTTATATGATACCGATAACAACGTCTAACTGGCTTTAAAGTTTACGCTTCATTTACCTTCGAGATCTTAAAGAACGAACAAATACACAAAGTCTAAATTCACCCGTTTTACTTTCTAAATAAAACTTTCTGTTAACATCAAACACACAAGGAACACGAACATCTATCTACGTTCAGGACAAGATCCAACAATCTTGTCGTTTCCAACATTTACTGAATGAATAGACTCGTGATTTTTACTTGAATGATCAAACATCGATTCTTAAAATCCACTGATGGATCTTTGCCCGTTTCCTCAGCCACATGTTGTGTGTGCAGTTGTTACCTGTTGTGCTTCAGTCAGAGCTGCATGATGTGTAAAATGTAAAATGGATTTATTACAACGAGCACAAAGAGAAGTTTTTGGTTAAAGGTGAGAGATGATCCAGTAGCTGCTCTGAATCACTGAGAGCTGGACATTTAAAGTTTCCAGGGAAAATAAATGTTTGTATTTTGCTGTTTTTTCTTAATAAACATGAAGCTTTCATCAATTAAACTCAACACTTCCTGCACAGATGTTTCACATTAAAAGCCCCCCCCCTCCCCCCACCGACAGAGATACTGGTGTGAAACTTGTGTTCAGGACATTTTGAGTTTCACTGACGGCAGGTTGAAGAAATGTCAAAGTAGGAGCGACAGAATTAATAACTGTAGTTGTTCTGAGGAAATGAAACCGCCGCTGTTATCATTTCAGACTCGACACTCGTGTGACGTGTTTCAGCGGATTCTGAGCTGACCGGACGACAACAAACAACAACAATAAACCACAAACATGAAGTGACTAAAATAATAAAGAAGCATCGAGTTCAGACGTTGACAGATGAAAATTTTGTCCATATAAATAAACTTCATGAGGTTAGTAAACGTCCTGTTTGTTAAAGCAGCTGCTTCTTACAGTAACAGATGATTTTAATCTGGTCTGTTTCCATCATAATTAAATAAATGGATCATATCTGACACCTGAAATCAGCTGAACTAAACTAATTAATAAAGTTTTTTTCTTCATGATATTCACGTACATTTTTAAAATCTAAAAACAATCAACTGTAAAATCTGGTTTTATTAAAGTAAATAAATGAATAAATACTGATAAATTCATGGTTATATTAGAGTAATGTTCCCTAGCTATGAACAACAGTAATACTTTCTGTATCAGTGTTACCTCCTCTGCAGGTGTTTGTACCTTTGACGTGGAGCTGCTGGACGCCTGCTGCTCCTCAGGACTCCTCTCCGCCTCCTGTTTCTTCTTCTCTGATGACACAACTGTTGATGGCGTCTCGCTCTCCTGGTCCTCAGCGGGTTTGCTGGCCCTGCGGGGCCGGTCGGACGGGCTGAGGCCGAGGATGAGCGCCACCTTGTCGATCTCATTGCGTTTCTTCTCGGCGGACTCATGCTCTTTGCGGAGGTTGGAGATCTGGGTCATGACCTCCTCCTGCAGGTGGCTGATCTCCTGCAGCAGGGGGTCTTTGTGGCCCCCCTTCTCCCGGCGCTTCTTCCTCAGGAGCTCGCCTGGAAAAACAACACAGGATGTTTGTATCAACAGTCGGGTGTGGAGTCCCTCAGGGGTCAGTTCTCAGACTCCTGGGTCACATTATGCAGATGATACACAGATTTATGTCTCTGCTAATCAAGAATTATTCCTCAGCCACCAAAGACTGGACGTCTCTTTCTTTCCTCCACCTGAACCCGGAGAAAGAAGAGTTTGGCGCTGCAGTTTATTGGTCCTGTTGACACCAGGTTACTAAACTCACCAAGGCCTGTTTTCTTCAACTAAAAAATATCACAGATATCTGATCGATCTCATCTTCCACTAAACTCACATTTCAGCACATCTGTTGGTTTTGAATTCACAGTTCGGTTTGTTTTTGTTACAGTGAAAACAAAAGAAAGAAAAAAAATTATTTTAATTTACTATGAATTTAACTCGTGAACATAAAGGTGTGATGGTGAACCTGTGAACTTGGCAGCATGACTGAAGTGATGTGATGCATCACGTCAACATGGAAAGTTTCAACATCAGGTGGATCCATGAGGAACCAGAGTTTCAGAGGCGTTCCAAACAAAGTGATCAGCGAGGGTGACTCTTTCAGAAACCGTCCCATAGAGACAGAGACAGATGTTTCTGAGACCTGGGCACATAAACCTAAACCACCTGAGTGGACAGGGACAGGTGGAGGGAGGAGGAGTCAACAACATGAACTCACCTTGTTGCTTCCTGAGTCTCTCCAGCTCCTTCATCAGATACTCCTTCTTCTTCATCCTGATCTCTCTCTCCTGCTTCAGCTTCTCTCTCTCCTCCAGAACCTGAACACAGAAACAGTCGGGTTGAGCTCACCTGTCGACAGGTACCTGCTTTACCTGGAGGTTCGGTCTGTTTCACTGTGATGCTCCAGGTGTCAAACCTTTTGTTTCTGGCTCTCGTTGTTCTGCTCCTCAGACACTTTCCTGTCGTGGATGCTGATCTTAGAGATTCCCTTCTCTCCGTCCTGAACACACGATTTCACCAAAGCTACAGAGACGACCAGGAATCAGTTTTACAACCCAAACCCCAGATATGTATGAATATACTGTAAACACACACACACACACACACACACACACACACACGACACCATCAACATTCAGATCTCAGACAGAAATAAACTCTTCAACCAGCAGGAATCACTTTATAAAAAGTGGAATATTCCTTTTATCATCAATCATCCTGATCAGACTGACCTTTGACCCCCAGCTCAGGGGGTGGTTTGTTGTAGGGCTGTTTGTACGGCAGAGTGGGGGGGAACTCGTCGGTCTGGGGGGGCAAGGTCATGCGAGGGGGCGGGTACATGGGCGGCCACTGCTGGGGCATGTAGGGCAGGTAGTTTCCGAACTGGCCGTAACCCGGCGGGGGGTAGTTCGGGGCCATCATGCCATGGACCTGTGCGGGGGGGTAGGTGGGTATGGGCACCCCGGGGTGAGGGGGGAGGTTGTTGGGGTTGGGGGTCTGTGGCGGGAGGTGTGGCGGCGGCTCTTTGTGCAGTGGTGGTGCGGCATCGCTCCGCTCCACCTTCGTCTCCTTCACGTCTCTGTCTTTGTGGGATTTGGGCGGAGCTGATTTCTTGCAGCTGTCGTCGCTGCTCCAGCTGCTCCTCTGGGTGCCCCCCCTGCTCCCCCCCCTGCTGCGACTCCTGCTGCTGCTGCTGCTGCTGGAGCTGCCACTGTGGCTCCGCCTCCTGCGGCCCCGACTGCCGTCGGAGCTGCCGGAGGAGTACCGTCTGCACCGTGTGGGTGTCTTCGGAGGCGGCTTGTTTCCGTGGAGACGCTCCTTGGTCCTGGCGGCCATCTTGGTGATCTCTGCGACGCCCAGGTCCAGGCCGATGGTCTTCAGCAGGTCCTGGATCTTCTCGTACTCCTCCAGCGCCTGGCGCTCGCTCTCCTCCAGCGGCTCCGTGCCGGGCGGGAAGGCGGGGTTCGGCACCTGGACCGTGATCTTCTGGTCCGGGCTGATGGTGGGCCGGCTCACGTACCTCGTGTCCACCTCCCCCATGGAGGAAGAGGCGGGGAGGTGAGGCGAGGCCCCCGGAGGGAGGCCGTAGGTCTGACCAATCACGGCTTTGGGAGGGGGGTAGTCTCCGTACAGCACCTCCTCCGTCACGTCTCCGTACAGATCCAGGCCATGATGTCGGACCGGCTCGGACGCCGGCGGAGGTTTGGGCTCCTCAGAGTCTCCGTACAGGAACTTCTCCTCGTCGTCGATGTCGTCCATTGCCTTCGTCGTCTGAGCCTTGTGCGCCGACCCCGCCTCCCCCAGCAGGTTCAGGATCTCTTTGATCTCGGCGTCGAGGCCAGCGCGGTTAGCCATCTGCGGGTCGGACCGGAGCTCCGACAGCATGGACGCCACCGTGTGAGGCTCCATGCCTTTCACCGCCAGCAGCAGCTGGTCGGCCACATGGGAGAAGTTGGAGCCCTCCAGAGCTCTGGGAGAGTCGATGCTCTGAAACACAGCACAGAGAAACAGAGAGGAGTGACGCCTCTGTACCACAGTTCATCAGCATTTACAGGGTTAAAGATTCATCTCAGCTGATTAAAGTTACAGCTTCAAACTTCATCAAACACAAAGAGACTGAAACTGGAGACACAGACAGATGTGAGTCTCTGCACAGCTGTGGACCGTCTCCTTGGACTGTCCTCCAAAGTTTCTACTTTAGTAAAACACAAACGAAGACAAACTGATCGACTCGACTCCGTCTTTACTCTGATTTTTCAGGATGTAAACAAACTTTTCTACAAACTTCTGGTTTCTTGTGTTTAGACATTTTAAATCTTCGTTCTTTTGTTGAACATTGATTTGTTATTGGCTGATTGAGGCAGCAGCAGTGAGTCTATTTTTCGTCGTACCCGTAGCGACGGCGAGTCCTCGGAGTCGTTGCGTTTCTTCAGGATGGATTTGGTCGGCAGACTCAGCATCTCCTCCAGCTCCTTTCTGCGTCGTGCCATCTTCAGCTCTTTAAACTCCTTCCTGGATTTCTCATCGCTGTCATTTCCGCTGCTCGAGCTCGAGCTGCTGCTAGCGCTGCGGCTCCTCTGTCTGCTCTTACTGCGGGCGTGACTCGCCACTTTGCTGAAGCTCCGCCCCCGGCTTCTCCCCCTGGATCTAGATCTGGACCTGGACTTAGATCTAGACCTGCTGCGGGGGCGACTCTTGCTCCTCGCCCGGCTCTTGCTCCGGCCCCGACTCTTGGCCCGGCTCCTGTCTGGACTCCGGCTCTTGCTGCGTCCCCGACTCTTGGCCCGGCTCCGGTCCAGACTCCGGCTCTTACTCCGGCCCCGACTCTTGGCCCGGCTCCGATCCGGACTCCGGCTCTTGCTCCGTCCCCGACTCTTGGCCCGGCTCCTGTCCGGGCTCCGGCTCTGGCTGCGGGGCCGGCTCTTGCTCCGACCCCGACTCTTAGCCCGGCTCCGGTCCAGACTGCGGTCTCGACTCCGGCCCCTGCTCCGGCTCCGCTCGTACTCAGGTCGGGCAGGATACTCTCTGTGAGGAAAGACCAGCGTCAGGTGACTGAAATTAAAACCAGAGACCAACAGGATCTGAATTTAGCAGGTAGAGTTGGTGTTTTCACGTGTACCTGTCATGATGCCGTGAAGGGGCGGGGCCAGATGTTCCAGTCATATCATTGCCAACAGTGATGACCAGATTATGGTCGAGGGGAATGGCCCCACGTGGTGACGGAGATCTCTGCAACAAATATCATTTAAAAAATTTAAAAAATCAAACTTGCAACAAACACGATTTCATGAACCTACCACAACAACATTAAAATAAATCATTAAATCATTAAGAAATGATAAAATGATGTTCCCTGCAGCACCTTCTTGATGGTTCAGGTTGGTGTCACCTCAGCTACACCACTATTAAATTAATTTAAATTGAAATTAAATTAAAAAAAAAAAAAAAAACGAACACATTGAATTTAATAAAAAAGATAAACTGTCAATTATAAAGTAAAGTGTCTGTAACTTGGTCAATTATATTACAAACACAACCCCGGAAATGACCTTTGTTATTATCGAAGCCGGAAGTAGGTCCGTGATTGTTCATTGATGAGAACCACAGACGAACTCCGTTCATAACTGACAATTAAATAATCCCATAAAAAAAAGTCACCCAACATTATTACAACACCTTTAAAAAAAGATCAAAGTTTTCTTTAAATCGGCAACTTTAAAAACCGCGAACGAGCATCTGTCACCGCGAAACACCGACTTTAATAATCTGTTTTCCGTGCTAGCTGAGCGTTAGCTAGCACGGTGTACTAGAGTTTAGAAACTTAAAACGGGACAGATATTTAGGCAGTAAAATGAAACTTATATGGATTCAAGTTATCGACAGTTAACTCAGGTAAATGTGAGGAACATTTAATAATAAGCTCCACAGTTATCACAGTAGAAACACGGTGTGATAAACTGCCAGTTTTCTTAATGGAGTTTGGTTTTCAGATAATAAACGATGCTCACAGAGAGAATGACGTCAGCGGACTGCAACTATGATGCATTATGCAGAAAGTTTAACACCAATAAAATACATCCGGTTCATTTTAATCAGACCCTGTTTTTAGACCGGCTGACCCACCTCTCTCGGCGGACCACCGGCCCAGTACTCCCCGCCTCGGTGATTCCCTGACCCGGGGGAAGGGTACCTCCTGCGCGGCGGGGAGCGGCGGTAGGAGTCCGGGGGAGCATGGTCGTGGTAGCCGTGGTGGTAAGGAGGCCTGGGCCGGCTCCTGTCGTCTCTGTAGTCCGGTGCCGGGTAGGGCCTCGGAGGCCGCGGTCCTCGGCCTTCGAAGGGCGGCGGGTAGCCTCCTCTCGGCGGAGGCCGACCACGGTACATCTCCTCCCGCAGAGATTCTCCGCCTCCCCGCGGTCAACCAGCGGATGTTTCCAGCGTTTATTCAGTGCAAACCAGAGACCTGCAGGCAGTTCACTGTCTGTATGAACCTACTGCTCAGATATCTGATATATAAAACAAAACAAACTGATTTCCAGCGCGATGCTCTGTGCATGCATACGGACCACTTCTTCTTCTACTGTCAGAAATAAACAGACAGGACTGAACGAGCTGGTGCCCCCTGCAGGAACAACACGGTATAACACATGTTCAGAGGGTCAGTGGCCCCTGGACCAGAGTCTCTGTGTGACTGTTAACAGTTGTTGGAAAGTCAGTGAGTGTTTGGGTCTGAAGGTCTGGTTCTGATGTCGGAGGGTTTCTGCTGCACTGACACGTTGGATCATCCTCTGAGGATTTTAAAGTTTTAAAGTTAGATTTGGTCTAAATGGTCGAGTTTGTTCCAGATATCTCTGAAGTTTGGATTCATTTTAAATTTCCTCATGATTTTCACTTTGTTTGTATGATCTTGAAGTTGGATAAATAAAATAAAGTTATTAAATTCTGTAATCTTAATTTTACCACCTGTGAACCTAATATTCTGTTTTAAATCCAATGTGGTGGAAGAGCATAACATTATTCATGGCTTCAACAAATAATATATTTTTTAGCTGGTTTAGAACAAAATTATTCAATCCAGCTAGAATTCAAAGTAATCTCAGATAAATTCATTTTAGATTAGTTTCAGGTTAATACTTATCATGTTTAAATTGACTTCAGCTGAGAAAGACTGAACAATAGTTACAACAAAACATTTTCAACTTTATTCTACAAAAATTGAAGTACTCACAAACATTTATAAAATATCAGATGTTTTCTTTGCTAAAAAATGGTTCCCTTCAAAATGGTGAATATATTTTACAAATACATTGAATAAATAAAATTGACATGTTTGAGAAATCATCTGTGACCTTGTGTTTGTCAAGCGGCCACACGTGAGGCTCCGATCCCAAGCTTGAGAACCTCTCCTCCACTCTGTCAACACACAAACCTCCGTGGTGTCTTTACTGACGTGAACTGTTTTCATAAGGGTTCGGTTTAATTGTCAGTTTGTGATGTGAAGTTTTCAACAGCTGGAAAATCTTTGAGCGTCATTCACAGAATATCAGACGTTTTGAAGTTTTCAATGTGACACAACTGATCGAAAACAACAACAAACCGCACAAAAGACGAATTTTTGTTCATTTTAGAGAATTTTTATTGAATAAAAAGTGATTTCAGTATCAGACAATAGAAAAGTATTTACATCGTTTCTCATTCTCAACATCCAAATATGCAGATCAACTGAAATCTGAATGTGCCCGAGATAATCATCGCCAAAAGTATGTGGACAGACATGTGACATAACCTGTGACAGTTGATTACATTACTCCAATACTGTAACAGTAGGGCTGTAACGTTTATTCAGTTATTGAGTCATCAAAAATGAATTAGCAGCTGTTATTGATTGTTATTGATCGTCAATAAATCGTTAAATGCCAAAGATTTGTTGTTTCTAGATACTCAGATTTGAGGATTTTAAGCATTTCTTTGTGATAGTTAACTTTGGACCGCTGAATAAAACTAACTATTGAAACAGATCATCCCGGGCTGAGGGGAAATTTAACATTTAGACAGAATTAATTGATTAACTGATAATGGAAATAACAGTGGCTTATTTTGGCTCATTGACTTCTACAGTTCAGTAGCTGTAAAGAAAGTAGCTTCAGTCTTCCTGCAGGTCTGTGCCGAGGTGAACATCCTCTGTTGTAACACCTGACGATGCAGCATCACCTGCTGTAAAATATTAATGAGTGGAGGCTGTTACATAAAAATGAAATATATTAAGTACGTAAACGGCACAATCCATAGACCCTTAATTCAAATCAAGGTGTGCATATTTACGTATGAACAGGTTTCACTTGCTGTGATCATTTATCCTGATGCACCTTTAATACATGTGATGGGGACAAACAAATAAACAGTGTATAATAGTATTTTTTTAGTTTGGGAAAATTTTTAATTATAGAAAACACAGATATACTTTGTTTCTAAATATAAATTCCTCTTGGAGGACAATAAAGTATATATACTGTTGGATTTTTGTTGTTTTTCAAGTTTTAACAATAATTATTTTTTATTAACAGCTTTTGTTGTTCATGGTTCTAACTTAAGATCTGATCATATCTTAAGACAAATATCTTCACATTTGAATAAAAGTAAACAGCAATTTAACAAAAAAAACTATTCAAGAATGAATTTTAATTCAGTGTTTTATGAGAACTACAGTACACTCGACTAACCAAGTGGCGTTACTTGCAGGATTGTAGCTTTTGCATTCTATTAGATTGTACAAGAGTTCCCAACACTACGGTCACGTTTTACAACTAAAGGTGGATTCATATCCATTTATTTTTTCTTTACATTCAATAATTCTAATTTCTCAAATGTGAAGATTTGTTGCTTTTCTTTGTCACATAAGAACTTTTGGTTTTCCACAGTTTGTCAGACAAAACGTCATTTGAATGAATCATCTTATGCCCTCGTCAATGTTTTGGACTATTTTAGTATTTTCAAATGTTATGTAAAAAAAAAAACAGGTCTATAATATAAATGTTAGTTGGAGCCTTTCTTTAGTGTTTCAGTTAAATGCATCACTACAAATATGTCTGCAGCTTTGACCCAATGAACAATTCAGTAAACCAGAGGTTCCCAAGGTCAGAAAACCCCTGAAAAAGTTGCAAGATAAATCACAAGATGTTTAACAATCTTGGATTAAACAGAAAAATAAAACTTTCAGGATTCAACTGGATTTTGTTCCTTTTAATTGATAATAAGTTTGGAAGTAGGAAGTAGTTAAGCACAACGGCCTACGGTGGGTCCTACTTTGTTACCTGGTCTTGAGGTCCATTTGAGGTTTCATGACTTTCATTATTTCACTGCATATTCAACGAGTACATCTTGGATTAGAAATTTGCTCTTCTGAGGGTCTTAAATTCTGCTAAATGCTTAGTTACAGCCTTCACAGCTGAACTATTACACTGGTAATAATACATATATATTTTACAAGATGTATTTTTAATTTGTTTCATGAAAACCGGGTCTGCTGGTGAGTCTGGAGGTTCTTTTGATGAAGCAGTTTTCTGTGGTCGTATGGATGGAAAACCAAGAAAACTAACACATTTTCTCATTTCTGGTCGTTCGAGTGGACGAGTCAGAGAGTCTGCTGCAGCGCTGCACGACCAGAGAAGTCTGATGATTCGACAGTGTTCAGGTCGCCTGATGAGTCGACTCATCGTCAGCTCCGTCTTGACAAGAACCTGCAGAGAAAACAAAGACTCACCTTGTCGGCTCCAACAGGTACAACACAGCCCGGAAACTTCAGTGGAGAATAAAGTGACCACATATAGTGCTGGGTGATTAAACAGCAGCTAATTATCTTAGTAACTCTCAGTATTCAATTAAGTTATCGTGATATTTAAAGGAAATACAGTGGATGTGTTTATTAATAAATTTAAACTGAATGTAAGGCAGGCAGATCGTTCAATATCAATAACAATGATTTCGGACTAAACTGTTTAGTTTTTAAAATATTATTTTAACACCATTTAAAAAGAAAATTAAATAAGATGCAATTTTTAAAATTTCAGTTGTAATGACTTAAAATAGCATTTATTTAACTCTGTTGAGAGAAACTCGTGTCTGAGGGAGTTAAACTGGTGAATATTTTACTGCAACACATTGAGTCATATTTCCCAGCACTAAATAAAAAGACTTCATTATTTATTTCCAACCAAAAACAAAATCATGTCATTACTCACAACCCATTTTACAGTCAACTGTAACATCTCTGTATGTGCAACACTATAGTAACTGCTGCCACAAATCTGTTGAATAACATTAACTAATCAACATTTGTTAAATAAGTATCTTAGTATATCTTTTCTTAAAAAACCCATCCATAGCTGCGAGTTCTGTCATCTGTCTTTTATCTTCTTAATGAACGAGGGACAACAGCAGATAAGCTGATATTGAGTTTATTGTTTGAAGTCAGACAAACAGTTAACAGTTAAAACCGTAAGTTCCTACATGGTAAAATTAAAGTACAAACGTATGACGGATATTTTAACAAAGCACTTTTATGAGAGTGGAGTCTTTGCAGTTATTTGTTTTTTTGCCGGACTCTCAACATAAAAAAACGATGGAAAATAAGTGATACTCTTAACTTTTCTCAGAGGCCTTGTTCACCTCCATCTCCCACTTCTCCAGAAAATCTTGAAGGTTCAGATTGAAAACGTCGATGCCTTTAGGCGACAGGTGGACGCCGTCAGCCCGGTAAAGGCCCGTGTTTGCGCCGCAACGGATGTTGTCATGGGTCAGCGAAGTGCCACCCAGCTCTAAGATGATGTTCTGGATCCTGCGATTCACTGTGGTTCGGATCAGATCTACTTCGTGGCTGTCGGTTGAGTGGCGCCATACCCTTCGAGGAAGGATGTTGGACCACACGAGAACGCACTGCGGGAAGATACTCCTCATGGAGGTCAGGTCCTTCTTGACAGAGGCGAGCAGGTCGGTGGGGCTGTCAGTACTCAGGTCGTTGCCGCCCAGGTGCATGATGAGGACATCTGGGTTGGGCCAGGTGACCTTCAACTGGTGGAGTTGGGGCAGGAGCTGGGACCATGTCATGCCCTGGGTGCCCTTCCACCAGATGGCCACCTTGCTGGGGTCCATGCCCAGCTGCATACCTACCTCTGGAGACTTGGCTCGAGACTCAGCCCAGTACACCAGCGAATGACCACAAATCCATACATTCCTGGGCTCGCTGCTGATCGGCTTACCTGGGAATTTTAACATAATACATTTGTGAGACACAAAACCTTACAAATCTTTCACACCAGATGATCTTAAACTATCTCTTGCAATCAGACCTTTAAAGCTACAACTCTGCATTAGTCGTTGAGCTGGTTTCACAAAGATCTGTCTGGCTGGTCTGAAGACTTTGGCCCGTACGTTTTATTCTTAGAATTGTCTAAACTGTCTTTAACCTGAACAACACAGCTGGACAAAAATTTAAAAATGGTCATCTAGCCCATCCACTGTGGACAAAATCCAGACGTTCTGGAAGAAGACGGACAGCTGAACGGACCACTGAACTTCGATATCTAGGTGAAATCTGACTGCTGGACTATAGCCAGTCGATCTTTATTAAACCAGCTCCAGATTTTTACAGGTTACCACGACCATATTTACCATTATTTCTGTTGAAAATACAAAATAATCTGTGCCCTCTCAAACTCTTTGTAGCCGTTTTAATCATTAACCTTTGTGCTCCAATTCAACTTTCCATTGTTGTGAAACTGAAGAGAACAATCTTATCTGTTAAAGCTTTCTAGCTCCCTAAATCAATCGTGTCATTAACAGTGATATTTACTGCATACAGAGAGGTAATCGTCAGGTTCTGTTGTTTACTTTGGAGGCAGGGATAACCCAAAAACGTACGAATGTAAAACCAGAAAACAACCTACAGATCAGAGAAAAATGTTTATGGTAATTGTATCTCTGTGAATTTTTAATAACATCTATGCACCTTGTTCAGTTTAATGTAGTGATTTTAGTGACAGATGTGTAACTTGAGGCAATTACACAGTGGTTTTTAAAAAAATCAGAAGAAATCAAAATAATCACCTACCTTCACTGTCAAGACAATATTGCCATTCTGCAATGTACAACTTGTCTGTTTCATTTTAAACCTTTTGAACACTTTAAAATAAAACTGCATTTATAATTAAATACTTAACACAGTAGAGATTTGGATAGCTCTGAACTTTTAGCTGTGTATCTATTAGTCTCCCTAGCTAAATGCTGAGTTCACTGCATGTACAATCCCCATTCATCAATACTGGCTGTGCATGGAAATGTAACATGCAACAAAAGCACTAAAATCATTTTAATCCTGATATATCGAATCTATCAATATCTGAAATTGATCATTTCTATATAAACAAATAATTTTCTTCTAACCTGCCTCATTCCAAGTTTTTTATGGTCTGAGGTGAATTCAGGGTCCAGTATTTTGTTTAGAGAAAGGAAATGGAATTGAATGTCAGATAATGGTTAACTGGATGCATGTTAATGAAATTCTGTTGCACATTTAAGGTAAAAAAGGCTAAAAAGGTATGACTATGAATGTATATTGGGTTGAAAGCAGCCCATTTAATGTGTCCTAAAATTAATATGCCGTTGGTCACTGATTTAGAATGATAATGCAGGTATTAACTGTGAGGCTGGTGGATGAACTAATGGATCAAATGGCCCATTCCTCTGTAAAATGTTTTTTTTTTCTTAGGTCATTTGGGACAATTAATGTCTTCCATTTCTGTTCCCAGACTCCATACTGGACCTCGTCATCTCCAAACCCAACCTGATGTAAACTGGAGTCTGGTTGTCCGTCCTGTTAACAATCACAGAACGTGGAAGTTACCTGGGCAGCAAATTGAAAAGCAAAGATGACACTCACTGTGGGACAGAAATCACGGTAGATTTAAATGCGCAAAAATGAGAGGAGTGAGTTGGCCTACTGTCGTTTGGGTGATGGAGCCGCAAGAGTGTTTAAACACAGACAGAAACATGACAGTGTTCTAATTCAAAGACTAAACAAAAGCAAAAACTGAACTGAAACTGTCCGAGTAAATTGTTTTTCTGAGCTCTTGTACAACCAGTTACATACACCGAATTTTATGTTTACAAATATCCAGACTGTGGCTACTAATGGAAACACCTTGCTAAGAACCTCTGATATCTACCTGCAGTTCAGTAGTGACTGAATCCTCGACTCACATTCAGGTCTAATCTAAGTCCCAGTTTTGGTGATTCGACTTGAAATTTTAACATCATTAATAAAATGGTGAAAAGCTCGTACTTGACGGTCAACCTCAAAACAATTCTAAGCTAACGTGTTTCACAGACTAAAACGAAAGGCTAGTTTACACCCACTATTGTGAGGGGCCCATTCACCGGTATTTAATTTGCCAAGCGATGATAATTACATAGTGGACTTATTAAAAAGAATGATAGATTTCGCCAACATGACCACTCAAAAATTACAGTTAAGAATAACCACCGTGACATTTAGAGGTGGGTCATATTGATTGATGTTAGGTATAGAGTTGACCACTTACCGTATTGATGACAGATTACCAATAAATTGCGTCTGAAATCCCTAAAGCTAACGATATCCAGCTGACCCCTAATGACGTTAATTATCTACATTAGCTTCCTGAGCTAACGTAGACGGTTTCACAGACTGAAAGGAAAAGGGAGCTCATGACAAAGAATTCTTACGTTCCCAATTCACAGTTATTGAGTTAATGAATTTAAAATGCTGATGTAATATACTTATTAGCCAAAGCTTATCAAAAAGTAAACAAATTTAGCTTGGACAAGATGTGACTTAACATTATTCAAAATATTTTTTAGGAATAATCAGCATTAAGAAGTGACATTCGGATTCTCTTTAATGCTTACAGGTACAGAGTTGGCCATAATGTTAACAACAGACCATCAGTAAGTTGCATGTAACACTGTTAATACTAAGGATAAATGACTGTCAGCCTCTACCCCTATAGTAAAAGCTCTCTATGTTAGCTTCCTGGGCTAACATTAGTTTCACAGACTAATAAGACAAGCTAGTTCAGCTATGGTAAATCATCTTCAGCATTCAAGCATTAATGGTTTTGCCTTCAGCTTAGAAATGAACTCGATGATGCAGGAATGTCCTTGGACACGTCAACCTTACCTCTCTGACTCAGCCGTGACCTTTGTCACTGACCATGAATTCGATGACTCTAACATGGCCTTGTGTTAATCGGCTTGATGTGAACTCGGAGTCAAACAAAGGAGAACCGAAACTCGACTTGGACTTGAGGTTTGGTAACTTGACTACAACACTGTTTACAAATGTCACATACAGAACAATGAAGTAAAAACATACCCTTATCTGCTGGTGAAACATGTAATTGTGCCAATTTAAGGGTTAGCTAGTGTGTAGAAGAGTAGTTAGTGGTTCAAACTAATATCTACACTATGGGACATGTTGCTGCATCAGGAGCTGAGAGGAATTTACAGCTTTGCAAATATAGCCTTCTTATTTTGTGTTGATTTGCTCACATATGGAGGTCTGCCAAAGAAATATGAAGTTTAATCTCTTAAATTGTCAAATCACTAGCGTAATTAATTTCTGACCATCAGTGACATCATAATTTAGCAGTACTATATCTTCCGTTGTTTTGTTAAATCGGGTTATTACCTAGCTGATAAACTGGGTGGTTCTGATCCAAATAAATAAATAAAACATGTTGAAACTTCTGTCACTGGAAATGAATGGTGAAAGCTTAATGTTACACTACAATTACAAATAGTCCTCTGGATCTTCAGATAAAACGTGACTTTTCTGGATATCCGGAAACTCACTTTTCTCAGTTTGACATAAACACAATTGAGCAAACTTGACTTACCCTGATCAGCTTTACTAGGACCTGTCTCAAAGACTTACCAAAGGAATGGAAATATTCTTTAATGTGCAACACAAAATTCTGTAGACAAAAAAAAAAAAAGAAACATTTGGAGAATTTGACTTACTAGCCAAAAATAAAACTACATTAACTTCGTAAGATCGTAAGGTAGGCTGTTCTAACAGCTTCATTCCAGGACAAGGCCTTGATGTAGAGAGGCTCAGTAAACTACTTTCATGAACATGACTTATATATCTGTTTAGCAGATGGACCAGAGTTATGGATAAAATATCTTTAAAAGATGACTGTTTTTTGTCACTTCAAGATGAATGTTACAGCTGCATGAAATTCTTAGAAAACTGAAATTACATGATTTAGTCACTCCTACAATTCACATGTAGAAATGGACAAAAACCTGTATACCCTCTGAATTAAATGTATGGGTATGTTAGTCTTGAAATGGCCCTTACATTCTTAACACCTGGGCCACACCTCTTACCTCACCTGTGTGTGACGTCTACCTCATTGAAACTACTGCCCATCACTTAATGCTCTGATACGTTATTAGCATCATATAATTATAGCCCAGGTAGCGTATATGTAGCCCCCACTTTCTCCTTCAATAACAGCTAAAATAGTTAAAAAAAATAATATTATAAGTAGAAGTGTCGGTTTTATATAATGTTGCTGATCTGATGTCAATATGACATCAACAAATATATTCCCTGTCTATTTTTGCTGGGAACCACAAATAAATGCAAAGATAGGCGAGATGATGAAACTCTAGATGATGTGGCCCTGCAAGGCTCAAGCCGTCCCTCAGACTCAGGTCTCACGTAGATTGTGTGGCTGCTGTCACTTGTTAACACGAGCGCCAAAATGAAAACCAAGACGTTGACAACTGTCAGACACAGGTGAGATAAACAGCGTGGTCTGGGCCCAACTATAAAACTATTTAGGCCACGTCTTTAAAAGCTATCTGAACCTAAAGGCCTACTGAGTCCTGGACCAGATGTGTTCCTGGTGCAGTCAGCCTCAGGCTGAACAAAACATGATGTACATGATCTCTTAAGTATTGTTTGAGAGGATTTCATGTCTGTTTTTGTAGCAGACAATGTCAGCTACATGACTAGTCGACATGAGGGAGCTGCTAGCCAACTTCAAGTAGGAATAAGTAGTAATATGACAGTACTATGTACTTAGTGCTACCTCTTAGTACTACAAATAGTAGTACAGACTGATCCGTTAGTGGGGTTCGTCCTTTATCTTGGTCTTCCTCCTACAATGTTGATCCTGGTTGCTGAAGGTGAGTTCTAGGTTTATGTGAACAGCAGCATGTAGCAGATTTGATATCTCTGTCTTTACAATGTTTAACCATCAGTTTCATTTAAAACTAGCTGTACTGTGTATACACTCAGTGGTCACTGTTTAAATACAACTTCTTAGTATCAGTACTGACCGGATGGACTGCTTGAGAAAATCCTATCACATCCTTCTCTAGTCAAAATCAAAGTATCCACCGGACCATAGCTGTAGAGTGAAAAGAGCTCCCTTGTTCATTAGAGATGCCACGGCGTCTTCTCAAAGAGGATGAAATCATTACTTACTCTACTGTATAAAGTGACAATTTCCTATGTGTTAATGATCATGCACCACTGTGGCTTCATCATCGTTTTTCACTGACACAGATTTGTCTTCTATGCATTGCTGTTGTGAGACTGAATGTCTTCACGTTCAACTTTGACACCTCCTATTTAACACCAACTGTCCCACTGCATGTTGTGTTAAAGCGCACATCTGAGGCTCACTATTTGGTTGAGAAGATGTAACTCAATGACCACTGAGTGTAACTGTATTTAAGCTGGAAACAGCATACCCAACCCAGAAAAACTACCTCACTTGAAAATATCACTGTAACTACATGTCTAGCTAACTACCAGGGCTGGATATCACACTTCAATCATTTTTTGGAACTGACCAAAATGTGTCTGTGGTATCAAGAACTGAAAACTGTCAGGTACTTGGTATCAAATACTTAAGTTAAAATCATACAAAGGATGAAAAAAAATTAATTTAGTGTATCAGAACTGAAACTTGGGTTTTGTATCAGCTCTACTATTAAAATTTTCAAACAAAACCTTACTACAAACATATCTATCTAAACATCTCAAAATCTCATCTGACTACATTGTGCTTTTTGGACTCAAATGAGTTTCTTTAAAGCTAGATACCAATGAAGTCATAAAGTGAAGAGGAAAAAGATGTTACTTTGTGAAGTTGGGATTGTAGTTGGCTTCTTTTCTTGATCGCTGGGACAAACCAATAGGCTCGGCTAAGGTGTGCAGTGGATGGACGAACTGACCTCTGTAGCAGAAGAACGCCTGATCTTTGTATCACTGCAAAGCTTAAGCTTAAAGACGGCTTTTCGACTCCGTGTCAAGGTGTAGCTGTATCTATGTGCGGAAGCTTGATTAATACGCCGGAAGATCCACCGTAGGCGACTGCAACTCCATAATAATGCAAACATGTTGGTGCTGCTAGATAAACGTACACTAGCAAAGCCAAATCGAGGACAAACCTTGCTGGGATCATCAATCTCTATCACGAAATCTAAAAAGACACACCTTGATAAAGTGCAAGAAATCCGTGGAGTTTTAACAACTGAGTGAAATCCTTTGCTGAATTCTAAATCCATTCCTACCTTGCTGGAATCGATCAGATTGCAAGACGGTATCAACAGAGAAGCATAGATCTAGCTTCGTACTAGACTGATCTCTATCACAGGGCCTAACTGGGCTAATCAGGCCTTGCTAATTATACGTTTCCTGCAGTTAGATCTAGACGAAACTTAGCGATATTGCCATCATGTTATCCTTAACATTTCTACCATGTCCATATGTGGCTAATCAAGTATCTCTGGGCTTCTCGTTAAGGCCTGGATAACTCTGGGAGAAAGAAATCTATTTTATCCAGCTCAAAGTTCCTGTCTAGGTAAAGAAAAAAGAAAACAATGTGTTTATCTTTTGTCTTTAACCCTAAAAGTAATATAAATGGCATGCAGCTTTAAAATGTTAATTTGAACATTTACATCTTTGAAACACACCGAGAACATAACTTTACTTGATGATAAATGTGCAAATTTCTGCACATTTCTTTAATTCAAAGATGGCTAGTTAAGTTTAATATGTAATTCAACAAGTTTTGATACCTGGGGAGATCAGTGTGCCATCCTTGTTCCTCTCTCCTTGTTTCTTGCGGGCTATCATCTCCTGGTACTGCTGCTCCCTCTTTTCCATAATCCTCTGGTTATACAAATCCAGCTGCAACATGAACACAAATACCTTGTCAATGCTTCAAGCCAAGCAGCTGAAACATGGAGGTCTTCTATCATTTCTAAGGTTTCTACTTTATTAAGTGCACCTATGTCTAGATATCCCAATGAATACTTGCAGGTAAGAGAATGTATCCATTTGCATTACTGACAGCAGACAAATTCATTCTCAAACGGATGCTCTGAAGACAAGGGGAATTAAAAATTCATCTCATAAGAACTGAAATTCTGATGCGCACAAGGAGGTTGCGCCAAAAAAACACACCCTTGTCATCAGTGCAACAAATCAGTCTTTAATCCTTCCACTGAGTTCTTTACTTTTTATTCTTGACTGCATCTACAAGTACTCGTTTACTTTTACTTTACTCAAGTCAAGGTCTGAGTACACTAGTACCACTACTGATCGTACCTTCTCTTTCTGCTTTGCCTTGATATCGTCGTCCGTCTCTGTTGAGGTCTGGAGACTGGAGACTGACGGAGACTCTGTGGGTAAACTGAACTGGACTGATTTGACTGGTTTGGCTGGTGGCTGCACAGCCAGAGACTTAACTGTCTCTATAACCTTCAGGCATCTGGCCACAGTTGTAGAGATGGCTGATTGGTCATTGCTTGGAGTACTCAGTGTTGCCGGTGTTGATGATAGTGGCGTCAGTATTACCGTGGCAGTGGTTGAAGGCTGCAAAGGACTGGAGGAGTCAGGGAATGGAGCTGTAGGAGGTTGGCCAAGGAAAGGTAAAGCTGCTTGACCGATGGGTGGAGTGAAAGGTTGACCAGGAGGGCGCCGGGGTGGAGGTCCAGGGGGAGGTCCTGGAGGAGGCTGTCCCAGGCGCCGGGGAGGAGGTCCAGGAGGAGGACCAGGAGGAAATCCAAATCTTTGTGGTTGACCAGCTGTTGGAGACCCCATAGTGGGGCTGATGGAGCACTCTTCTGGGGGAACCTGGGTGGGGACTCCCAGTGACCAACTGGTTGGAATAGGTGGATGTTGGTATTGAGCAGGTGGGGGGCCAGGAGGTGGTTTTGGAGAAGTGGTGGAACAGGTACTCCCCATTGTCTTAGTAAAACTCTGCAGCTGTTGCGCCTTTTTTAGCACCTCCAACTCCTGCTGGTCCAAGAACCCTTCATACTCCAAGACAGGTTTATGTCTGGTGAGCGGCTCCAAACTGGAGGACCTGACAGGGGAGGGGGAGTGGATGTGTTCAGATTCAACTGAACCTGTTCTACTTGTTCGTAGGTCTTCTCTTGGGGATGACAAAGTGTCTCTTTCTATGGATGAGGACTTTGGGCTGTAGATTTTCTCCTGGGCTCGACTTGCCAGTTTGGACACATCTCCTGTACTCAGCTTCAGGCCAATCGTACGGAGTAGACTCTGGATCTTGTCGTAGGGTTCTGTCACACTCTTTGGTTCCTCACTTGTTCTCTCTACTGAGGACCGTTTAGGGCTCAGTTGTTTCTTTTCCCCTTCTAGAGCTCGACTGCTGCTGGGTTGCTCTTGAGTCAATCCCACAATCCGAGAGAATCCCACGCCATCTTGAAGTGCCCGCTCATGAGGGAGTAAGTCATCGTTAACATGAACCGGTTCTGATTTCTTTTCAGCACCCACCTTTTTATTGAGCATGTCAAGAAAACGGTCCAGGGGTGGTTTCTCAGCAGGAGGCGACTGACGTGGTGTTGTGTTCTTCAGTTTGGGAGAAGGGCTTCTAGGAGGTGGTTCTGTGGGAGAAGGAGGTCTGAAAGGTGGTTGGGAGGATGAACCGGCGCCAGTATGCGTCAACGAAGGTTGGGTGGAGGCAGCTGATTGTGAAGAAGACGAGGGACCATGAGGTTCTGGAGACTGGCTCCGTTTTACAGGACGATACGGATCATCATAAGGTCGGTCTGCATACGCTGGGTCATAGTAACGATCGTCATAGGGTTCATCATAAACGTCGTAGCGATCAGTGTAACGGTGGCTGGTGGACGGAGGGCCAGCATAGGGAGGTTCACCATAGAGACGACTTTCATAAGGCCGGTCAGCATAAGGACGGTCACCATAAGGGCGATCAGCGTAGGGACGGCTGGCGTACGGACCACCGTAGCAGTCACCGTACCGCCGATCTTGGTAAGGACTGTATGGCCGGTCATAATAAGGATCATCGTAGGGTTGAGGAGGACGTTGGTGGTATTCAGGTCCCTCGGGCCGTTTCTTCAGGATGGACCGGACTGGTTTGTACTCAGTGAGCGGCACAGCGATCCTGCCATGGTCGTAGTCTATGCAGGTCCTTTGTCCAGGGTCCAGTCCTCTGGGATCTATATCCACCAGTGACTTTTTGTAGGCAATCATCTCATTCAGCTCCTCCAGCTCCCGCTTCTTCCTCGCCAGCTCGTCATCCACGACTCCGCCACGTCTGGGAGGAGGGCTCAGGTCCCTCCTCCTCTTGTGACCGTCTTCACGGTCTCTGCTGATTTTGCTCCTCTTCTTTCCAGGCCTGTCTTTGCTCCTTTCCCTGCTCCTGCTGCGGCTCCTGCTGGAGGTCTTGCTTCGGCTTCGGCTCCTGCTCTTACTACGACTCTTAGTGCGACTTCTGGTGCGCCTGTGTGACCTCTCTCGGCTTTGCTTGAACCTGCTGGTTTTACGGTCACGGTCAATGCTGGAGCTGCGTCTCCTTTTAATGATGCGTCCAAACTGGTCTCTAGGTGGACTCTTGCTCCTACTTTTACTCCTACTCCTACCCTTACTCCGACTCCTGCTCCGACTTCTGCTCCTGCTGCGGCCATATCTTCGCCGAGTGGTGCTGTAATCCCGTCTGCCGATACCGGTCTTGCTGTCCTGAGCTCTAAGATTTTTCACCACCACCTTCAGCTTGTCTGTCTCTGGTTTTTCCTTCCTGAAATGTCAAAGTAAGTAAGAGAAGTTACAGACAGGTTCTACTTTTTGGGATCATTATTACATAGTTTGTTTCTACATATCTTGTGTATGTGTGAATGAGAAATGGGTCATTTAGTCAAAGCATATTAGGTAAACATGTAAACATCTTTTCTGCTGTCCTGAGTGTAATAAATAACAAATCAATAAAACCATAACTCACTCTGTGTCTTCTGAAGCTTTGGTCAGCTTGATGGTCATCTACCAAAGAAGACAAACACATATTAATTAGAAAAACAGTTTGCAGTAGCATTTGTTAAAAGAAGACATCTGGTTAATTAACTAACATAGTAAAACTGAAAGCAAAGTACAGCTTTGAATTTCTGAAATTACACGGAAGTTGCATAAATGTAGTGAAAATATTTTTACACAGGCTAAAAAAAATAAAACCACAGCTTTTATTTTGTTAAAAGCATAAGAGTCTTCAGTCTTTGTCAAGTGTGAAATCAGTCACTTTACTCATGTTAAGTCCAGAAAGAGTTTCATCTCTTCTTATTCGTATCTGTATAAACGTACAAACTATCCTCCTTACCTTTCCTTTGTTTGCTCCGACACCGACAAGTTTCCGAACAGGGAGGAAAACGCTCTCGGTGTAACGTTTTATCCTGATGGCCTGGTTCCCCCCCTCCGCCGTTTCATGCTTGGAGAAACAATAAACAAACAATAATATGACATTAAGCACTGACATTAAAGTATGTAATGAAAATGCAGAACTTTGAAGGCTGCGACAAAGATGAGAGTATAAGAAAATCCTCAAATGACCTTGTTCTGACTCAGCTCCAGTAGTTCTCTTGTATAAAACCTGAATGCTTGAACCAAACGCCTTTCTTGTCCTGAGGTGACCTAACTCTCAACCCTGAGCCTCATCTCCTAAAACCTCATCTCTCAAACTAAATCGGATGAAGAGGAGCACTCACCGGGACGACGCTGAACTCGACCTTCTCGTTCAGCTCCAGTTTCTTCTTCTCGATCACCTCCGACATGTTGAAGAAGAGCTGGGGGTTCTGGGTGCACTTGATGAGTCCAGAGTCCTCCATGAACTCAATCACGATGCCCTGGTGAAAAACACACATCAGATTATTTCTACGGCCGCTCAGTAAACCCAACACGAGTCAAATATCAACGACACGAGCGGACGGTTGTTTTAAAGTCTCACATGTCGACGTTGTTCGGTCGACTCTTCGAAGGAGTCGGGGAGAATTTCCACGTAGGTCGCTCGTTCCTCTTTGGTCTCCCGATGAGTGGCGATGTTGAAACGCACCTGAACACATCAGACGGAAATTTAACATTAAGAACCAAAGAAACAAGCTGCCGGTCATTTCAGTGCAGTGATTTAAATACAGGAGCATGTGTCTGTAAGCAACTCCACTGCTAATATGACATCCAGTGCATCACGACTGTTTACTGTTGTTGATGCAGTTAACACACTTCATTTAATTACCAAGTAAAACTGTGAAGGAATATTCAGAGTTTCTGCAGGTTCACCTGGTTTTAAGAGTTGAGACATTTAATATCAGAGATTTTGATTTTAAACCAGTTTCATGTTAAAAATGAAGGTATGAAAGACGTTAATGAACAGGTACAACATCTTCTTCTGTTCATCATACAGACAAACGACTTCACGGGAGGGACTCACCTTGTCTCCGTCCAGCATGGTGGCGGCGGTCAGCAGGTCTCTGCGAGCGAAGGAGAGTTGTTTCTGTTGCCCGTCAATGGTCATCACCAGTCGGCCCATCTCTGGGTCTGGTTTGGCTTCAGCTTCAGCCGTCCGCTCCTTCTTCACCTCTGCCTCATCCTCCTTCTCCTTTTTCACCTTCATCTTCAGCCCCTCTCCTCCCACTCCGTCAGGTTTACCTGCCGCCTCTTCGTTCTCGTTTTCGTCCATTTTCTCCACTTTTACTTTTGCCTGCAAAAAAGGAAAACGTTTATTTAGTTTACGTTTCTGAATCCAGACTCTCTCCGGGGTTTTCGGAGCTGAGGCAGATTGTTTTTCGTCACCTGTGCGAACAGCGCTTCGTTCTCCACCGGCTCCTTCTTGATCTCCTTACGAGGATTTTTGGAGATGGCTCTGAGGACGGTGCCTTCAAATCGCTCTTTGCTGATGTCGTCCATCGTGTCGGGGTCTCTCGTCTTGAAGCCGAGGGGAGTCCACTGCAGAGAGACAGGAGGAAGAAAATCAAACTGGTTTCATTTGATTCTTTATGATTTTAAAAGTTAATGAGCAAAATGTAAAAAAACTGCAGGTGAGACTTTAAGACTCACTTTGTCTTTAGCAGCTGCCAGCGCCGCCGCCACCTCCTCCTTCTTCTTCCTCTCCACCTCTTTCTCTCGCTCCTCCTCCTCCTCCTCCATCCTCTTCCTCTCCTCCTCCTCCTGTTTCCTCCTCTCCTCCTCCTCCCGCTTCTTCTTCTTCTCCTCCTCCTCCCGTTTCTTTTGCTCCTCCAGGATTTTGTCCTCGATCCTCTTCGTCCTCCTCAGCCTGATTGCCCTCTTCTCAGACTTCACCTGCGGAGACAGAGGAGAGACGACGGCGTCAGGACGTGAGGCTCGTTCACTTCCTGTCCTCAGGTTCAGGTGTGGCTCCGTCTCCGTCAGACTCACGATGCCCGTCGTGAACTCCACCTCCTTGTGGATGTCGTTGGCGTTGAACTCGGTGTCGCTGAAGTTCTCGCAGATGTCGAAGTGAAGCTCGCCGTGCTCCTCCGAGTTGACGATGCCTTCCTCAGCCCCCAGGTACGTGATGATGCCCTGAAACACAGACACACCTGAACAGCTGGAGGCAGGTGAACTACACAGAACTTGTTCTTCATGAGATTCACTGACACTGCAGCTGCTGGAGACTCGTTAACGAGCCGTTACCGAGGTGACAGCTGACCAGTCTTACCAGCTCTCTCTTCTCTTTGGTGTAGCTGAAGGTGAAGGGGATTTTGGGTTTGATGTTGGCCGCCCTCCTCTTCCTCGTCACCATGTCGACCAGCAGGTTGATCAACACGTGGTCATTCTTAAGCAGCGTCACGCCACAGTCCCGGTGGTCGAAGGTCACGTTGGTCCTGACGGGGCCGATGTTGGCGTGGATCTGACCCGGGTAACCTGGCAGGGTGGGCTGAACACAGAGCGGGCGGAGTCAGGAGAGGAGGCAGCGACACAGACGCCACGATTATAAACCAGTTTCTATTCTACGATCATGTTACTCAGATTTTAGCTCGTTACAGTTTTAAAATACTTTTCATTTTCCTTTAAGGCTTCTGTCCGTTTGGCACCTTCTTGTATCTCAGACCTGCTCTGACCATGTGACCAGACGGCGCCGAGATCCTCGATCACAACTGTCGGTCCCTGGGAGCCAGAGGTGCCTGCGCTCCAGTTTAAAACCTCACAGCTTCTCATTCTTGATTTAAAAGCTTTTATCTTTGGTTTCCATTAGTTTTATTTTCTGTCTGTTTTATTGATCTCATTATTGATCTCATCGTTTTTAATTAACACGTTGCCTCTTTGTGTCTTTTATTGTTTTGTTTTTCTGTTTGTAACTAATTATTATTATTATTCCTACGCACAAGCGCACCTGTATTACGCCGGTCAGCTGATGCCACCATGAAACACCTACAGGTTGATACACCTGTGTCTGACTGTGAGTCCTGTCATTCTTTAGTGATGAAACTGAGTTAATGATCGGAGACGTGTTGACTTTTATTTATTAGACTAATCAAACTGGATGGATGGATAGATAGACAGATAGATAGATGATAGATAGATGATAGATAGATGATAGATAGATGATTGATAGATAGATAGATTGATAGATGATAGATTGATAGATGATAGATAGATAGATAGATAGATAGATAGATAGATAGATAGATAGATAGATGATAGATAGATAGAAAGATAGATAGATTGATAGATAGATGATAGATAGATAGAAAGATAGATAGATTGATAGATGATAGATTGATAGATAGATAGATGATTGATAGATAGATAGATAGATGATAGATAGAAAGATAGATATATTGATAGATGATAGATTGATAGATAGATAGATAGATAGATGATAGATAGAAAGATAGATAGATTGATAGATGATAGATTGATAGATTGATAGATGATAGATAGATAGATTGATAGATGATAGATAGATAGATAGATAGATAGATAGATAGATAGATAGATAGATGATAGATTGATAGATAGATAGATAGATTGATAGATGATAGATAGATAGATAGATAGATGATAGATAGATAGTTAGATAGATTGATAGATGATAGATAGATAGATAGATAGATAGATAGATAGATAGATAGATAGATAGATAGATAATAGATAGATAGATAGATAGATAGATAGATCGATCAGTATCAGCTGCAGAAGCATGATCAGGGATCTCCAACTAACCAGCTGCTTCTAGAACTCCAGGATCTGTTGGTTGAATCATTATATAGAAACAGGTTTCTACACACAGGTAAGTCAGGTGGACAGGTGAGTCCAGGTAAACGACCTGAAACCTCGTCCCGGTCGACTCTCTCACCGTGGGCTCGATGATGGGCTGACTGACGATGCCCTCGTACAGCTCCGTGTCCAGCTTCATGTTGGGCGCCAGGTCCAGCTTCACGTTGGCCTTCCCTCTGAGCGACCTGGACGAGTCTCCGTCGCTGTCCCCGTTGGCGTTCTCGCCCTCGGACTCCGCCTCCTCTGAGGAGGCGACGGTGGCGGTGCAGAGCGTCAGGAGGAGCGGCTCCTTCACCCGCCGGATCCGGATCGCCCGATTCCCCGTTTTCAGCTGATGGAAAACAAACAGATTTAACGTCTCTGAATAAACTCTTATCTTCCGTCTCAGTTTGAGGTAAAGACTGAACAGCGGCGTCCTCACCGTGATGACGGTGAACTCCACCTCCTCGTTGACGTCCTCGGCCGTGAACTCGACATCACTGAAGTTTTCTTTGATGTCGAAGGGAAGCTCGCCGTGTTCGTCCGACTTGATGACGCCCTCGTTTTCTTTGAGGCTGATGATAACGCCCTGACAGAAAGAGTCCAGAGTTAAACCTCTGAGGTCAAAGGGCATCTTCTCCATTTCTCCATCATCTCTTATATTTCATATAAATAACACTAATAACAATAATAATAATAATAATAATAATAAAGTGATTATATCTCAACTTTCAGATCAACCTCAGCTCGTTCTATAACGAGGCTCGTCACTGAGCAACAGATCATTCTAGTTTTTGAAATTCTCTAGTGAAAACGAACCTTTACTGATGTGGATGAATTGAAATGTGTTCAGTCTGTAGGTTCATAAAAACAGAGCAACATGTGAGTAAAATAGATGAACGGAGAATAAATGCAGTGATGTTGCTAGGTCCGCGTCCTGCGTCCCTGACGCATTAAAATCTGAAAGGACGCAGTAAACTCACTGTCCATGCGTCTCAGGGACCAACTCATTCTTCCCATGAAAAACGAAACATTGTGAACAACAACTCGTGTTTAAAATCACAGTAACTAGCAAAAGACCAGGTAAGCGCTGTTTCAACCCTCTGCGCATCTCCTCCGCGCAGACGTGATCCCCCGTGTACAGTATCGCGACATGCTAGTTTAGCCACTACCACAACAATTAGCCAGTCACCGCGGATTTCATTTCAACAATTAAAGATACGAACTTCATAGTAGTAAATAAACTCATGTTTCCACTGCTCCATGCTGTGTTCACTCATGTCGACAATGTCTTAACGTCTAGGGGACGTGCTGTAATGAAATAAATAAAACATACTCCGGTGGCGGTGATGAAAAATACTTTAACAGACTTTCCACTGTGTTAGTTTCATTTGTGTGCTAAAAGTTTCACAGTGATTGACTCAGTTCATTTGATTTAGTTGATTTTCAGACAAGAAGATTTTGGTCTTATTTTGGTGACAATTTGTTGACTCTGTCATGGTGATGAGAATGTTTTGTTTATGTGTTAAAATCAGCACTTTTATTGATAATTTATTTTGGTACTACAGGCACCATTTTGGTTTCATTTGAAGAATATAAGAAATAAAAAATTTTATTTGGGACCCATTGAATTTCCCAGGGACCCACTCAAATCACCACCTGTGGGTCCCGGGGACTCACTACATTGAAAACCTATCAACATCACTGTAAATGTGATAAAATGTGAGTGGTAGTTGGTTTAGGGTTGAGTGGTAGTTGTCGTCTGTCGCTCTACTTTCACCAGAGTTTAGAGGCGGAGTCACGTACGACCTCACAGGAAAATGTAAAGGAAAGTGGAGTCGACAGATTCTGACAGTTAAATCATATTTCTACTAATATGTATGGACAGAAACATCCGTCGACCTCAGAGGGTCAAAGACACACACAGATAATAAATCAGCTTCACTGGAGCCAAACGCTCTGAACGTGTCTGAATCTCTCAGGTTTCATGTCGAGTGTCGAGTGTGTATCCTGAGGGCCCGACCTTCTGCCTGGCCTCCTTGGTGTGGCTGAAGGTCGCTGGGATTTTGGGTTTGATGTTGGTGGCTCGTCTCTTCTCGGTCACGATGTCGGTCAGCAGGTTGATGAGCACCTGGTCGTTCTTCAGGAGCGTCACCGTGCTGTCCTTCCTGTCGAACGTCAGGTTGGTCCTCAGGGGCCCGATGTTCACGTGGACCTGACCGGGGTACTGACGCTCGCCGGGCTGCAGACCGACGAAACCAGCAGAGTCAGCGACAGGAAACAGGAAACAGGAAACAGGAAGCGGGATGCGGTCCAGGAGATGAAGTCTTAAGGTTCAGACTCACCTGAGGCTCCGTGATTGGCTGACTGACCACGGCCTCGTAGATCTCCGTGTCCACGTTCTCTGTTCCGCCTGGAGCCACTTTCACATCCGTCGCTATCAGACTGTTCTGCTTCAGAACACAAACAACAACCACCTCATTAAAATCTGCATCAACAAGAACAAAAACTGACACAGGTTCAATATTAAAGTTTCCTGGAAGAGAAAAGATCAAAATGAGAAACTTTAACTATTGACTTTTAATTTAAAGCCTGATGGAAATCACCTGAACGACAGGAAAAAAACCTTGATAATGAGATTAATATAAACACGACGTCAGAAAACAGACAGCGTCTAAAATCCTGAACAACACAAGGACGTAAAAGAGGGAAGAAGATGAACGACACGACGCCGGAGTCGAGCGTCTGGAGAGGAAATACCACAAAAATAAAAATCTACAATTTAAATTCATCAACATCTTCAAAATGTTGGATGTGAAAAAACAAAACAGTTCAGCTCTTTATTTATTTTCCCTCGGGCTGTAAATCATTCCTGAAGAAAATAATTCAAAAATCATTTTGACTTTTTTAACTTTTAAATGTTTAAAAAGTTAAAATATAAAAATATAGTTTCATTTACTGAAAATATTAAAACCAACATGATGTTTGAAGAAAAGCGAGTCAGGGCTCGTCTACCTGCAGGAAGCTGAACCCAGGCCTCTCCTCACCTTCTCTTTGCAGGCGGTGAAGTGAACTCTGACCCCGGGCGTCATGGCTTTGGGATTTCCAAAGAAGGCGTCGAAGCTGAAGGTGAACTTCTCCAGGTCTTCTCTCTCGATGTAGCCGAACGTCGGCTGAGGACCAGAGACAGAGGAAAACTGATCACTGACAGAACCAGAACCAGAACCCGAACCTGGACTGATCACAGAGGAAGGGTCAGTCCAGAACGTTTTTTTTACGGTCAGAGAGTATGAAGTCTTAAGGTTCAGACTCACCTGAGGCTCCGTGATTGGCTGACTGACCACGGCCTCGTAGATCTCCGTGTCCACGTTCTCTGTTCGCCCTGGAGCCACTTTCACATCCGTCGCTATCAGACTGTTCTGCTTCAGAACACAAACAACAACCACCTCATTAAAATCTGCATCAACAAGAACAAAAACTGACACAGTTCAATATTAAAGTTTCCTGGAAGAGAAAAGATCAAAATGAGAAACTTTAACTATTGACTTTTAATTTAAAGCCTGATGGAAATCACCTGAACGACAGGAAAAAAACCTTGATAATGAGATTAATATAAACACGACGTCAAAAACAGACAGCGTCTAAAACCTGAACAACACAAGGACGTAAAAGAGGGAAGAAGATGAACGACACGACGCCGGAGTCGAGCGTCTGGAGAGAAATACCACAAAAATAAAAATCTACAATTTAAATTCATCAACATCTTCAAAATGTTGGATGTGAAAAAACAAAACAGTTCACTCTTTATTTATTTTCCCTCGGGCTGTAAATCATTCCTGAAGAAAATAATTCAAAAATCATTTTGACTTTTTTAACTTTTAAATTTTTAAAAGTTAAAATATAAAAATATAGTTTCATTTACTGAAAATATTAAAACCAACATGATGTTTGAAGAAAAGCGAGTCAGGGCTCGTCTACCTGCAGGAAGCTGAAACCCAGGCTCTCCTCACCTTCTCTTTGCAGGCGGTGAAGTGAACTCTGACCCCGGGCTCATGGCTTTGGGATTTCAAAGAAGGCGTCGAAGCTGAAGGT